TCCCATCAGCTAGGATAGTATTGCCACTGGTCAGTAATTCTGGAATTATAGTTGAAATTATTTTGAGGACACAGTTGCCTAGAGAAGACCCATCTAATCAATAGAACCTTCAAATGTATTGATTCTTATTAGTTCAGTGGGTCTGAAAGGCCCCTTTCATACTACACAAGTGCTGTGATTGGTGTCCATTTACATCAATAGTAGATTCAGCAAGTGATACATTTATGTTGGGCTGGTCCATAACACATGATTATACTAATTTCACTTTAACTGCTATAGTTGCAGTTACAACACTGCCTGAGCTCTGCGAGTGCAGCATTTTTCAAAATGAAGCAGAGGGTGTTTGAGGATTGGGACAACCATAGGGATAACAAGGTGCTTGTTTAAAAAACTATTGTCCTCCCAATCCTGTTATATGCCTGCGAAATGTGAACTGTTTATAGACGTCACACTCAACTTCTGGAACGATTCCATCAGTTTTGCCTCCGAAAAATCCTGCAAATCTCTTGGGAGGGCAGGCGAACAAATGTCATCATGCTGGAAGAAGCAAAGACGACCAGCATTGAAGCGATGCTCCTCCACCATCAACTCCGCTGGACTGGCCATGTTGTCTGAATGCCTGATCACTGGCTCCGAAAATAGTTACTATACTCCCAACTCAAGAATGGAAAATTGAATGTTGGCGGCCAGGAAAAGAGATTAGAGATGGGCTTAAAGCTAACCTTAAAAACTGTAGCATAGACACTGAACACGGAGAAAGCCTGACCCTTGAGTGCTCCAACTGGAGGTCAGCTGTGTCCAGCAGTGCTGCAGAATGGAGGGCAAAAGGGAAAAATGTGCTAAGAGGAAGGTGTGTCAAGTCAACCCTGACTGGGACCGCCTTCCACCTGGAAACTGATGCCCTCACTGTGGAAGAACATGTGGATTCAGAATGGGGCTCCACAGTCACCTAATGTATCCACTGCCAAGACACTACACTTGGAAGTGCATCATACTCAAACAACCAGGGTTCACCTAAGTGAAGTAAGTAAGCTATAGTTGCATCCTTTGGAATCCTGGGATTTGCAGTTTAGGGAGCCGAGAGCTCTAGTGCCCCACCAAACTGCCACCCCCAGATTTCCATCAGATGCAACCAAGGCAGTTAAAATAGAACCATAGTGCTATGACTATGTAGTGTGAAAGTGTTCTGAATCTAAGACTTTGAAGAAAACTGAAAACACTCATTCTCCTCCTCTGCTGCAGGTCCCCTTTTAAACTTTATTTCCTCTCCCTCGCTTTAAGTTTACTTGTTTCTTTTTGCATAGTAATTGTCAAGTGTGGTGGAATGTTGTGTAATTTGTTGCACTTTGTTCTTCATAAGCTTTCCTATTCATTCCTCTGCATGCAACCTCATTACCTCCTTCTAACAGATTTGCCTCCCAGATGTGAAAAGTACTAAATAGGCGGTAAAGCCTCATACCCAGGACTAACAAAAAAGAAGGCTATGAATCTGAGGTGATTAGCTGTGATTTGTGTTTTAAGAGCCTGTAAATGGAAATCAGCCTATACTGATCCTCAATCTTAAATGCACATTTAGTTGACAGGTAATTATTATGGCATTTTCATATTACCCTCCATCTTCTTTCAAGCACAAAGTGAATTAATAAGTGATCTGCTAAAGTCACACACCTCGCAGCATATTTAGATTCACTCTCTTAGCCTAGAGCGGATTAAAAGGTGAGGAACACATTCCTTTTTGTAAAATCACAACTGCAAATTAAAACCTTTCTGACTGGGAGACCGGAAGTTTCATATCTCTCAGAACTGGGCAAAGTATTCCAAGTCAGGTCTGACCAAAGAAGAAAACAGTGACATTTCTACTTCTCCTGGTCTGGACGCTATACTATACTTGTGTTGATACAGCCTAGAATTGCATTGGCTCTTTTGGCCTCCACATCAAAATGATTTTTTTAATGTTTAGCTGGTAGTCTGCTTGGACCCTAGATCTTTTTTACTTGCACTGCTGTGAAAACAAGTGTCTACCATCCTATATTGTAGATTGCATTGCTCATACCTTATATTTATCTCTATTGAAATTATCATAATTTTGTCTATCAAGGCAATTTTGAATTCTGATCCTATAGATGCTCCAGTTTTATTAGTGAATTTCATATACATGCCTTTTATTCCCTCATTTAATGTTTTATAAATATGTTGACTCATTTCCAGGACATAGACCTGAAGGATCTAGGCTTGTGCAATTTGGCTGGAGGATGGTAAATTTTTGGCATCCGGATTTTGTTGGGTACCCAGACCTGTTTTCAGGAGCCTATCAAAAACTGTCTAATGGAAAAATCTGTTTTTGGCTACACAGCCGAAAGATCCAGGAAGGACTGTCCCATTGGTGGGAATGGGGAACTTATGAAGCTCTCCTTTCCATTCTAGGGATCCTTTTCTTTTTTCCTTTTAAGGGAGTCTGGGTTTGAAGAATGGGATTAAGGAAGCATCCTTCCTGGGACCCTTTCCTATCTTCCTTTCAAGGGAGTCTGGGTTTCAAGAATGGGGTTAATGAAGCATCCTTCCTGGGACCCTTTTCTTTCTTCCTTTCAAGGAAGTCTAGCTTTGAGCAATGGGGTTAAGGAAGCAGTGCATGAGACACGTCACAGTATTCTTCTATTCTGATTGGCCTAACAGGCAGGGCTCACGGGGAAACCCCATGTGAGCAGCACATGGCAGCCTTTCCGTGTGCTGCGTGGTACCGAACAGGGGAGAAAGAGCCATGATCGGTTGCCATGTAGTCTCGTTATGGATGAAAAATGTGATAGCTGAGCCCTTATCATTATGGCCATCTCACCAAGCCGAACAAGCCAGATTGGCCCAAGGGCACCGACCACTCTGAATCCGTGCACAAGCCTAGAAAGATCTCCACAACATCTTTCTTCTCTGCAGGAAAGGTTTTCTCCAGGCTTTCAAGAGACTTGGGTTTGTGGCAAAAAGTGGGCGAGGGAGGAAATGGAGTATCCTGGAGTGGAGATTCATTATATGGCTGGCAGAAAGGAAGGAATATTGATTAGGAACGCCCTATACTATAAGATTTTGTTGCAAGAACCTCTTGTAAGGAAACTGATTTGCTTTTGTTCTTTATTGTACCCAAGGCTACCAATTTTGTTTGGTGCCTTTATGTACAATACTGGAATTTAAATATAATAAATAAAACCCTCATTTGCACGCACAAAAAGAGCAGCTTTTAATATTTTTAGTTTCTGAAGTTTCATATCTCCAGTCTCCTTTGAGCTTGTGGAGGTGTTACTGCGATGTTAGCAACGTGTCAAGCAAACAAACCTAATAATAGCATAACATTGAATGGTGGTAGCAATCAGGGCATTCAAAGCCTTTAGAAGCTTAAAAATAGCCTGTTTTGGGAAACATGTAATTTAACATTATTTTCGAGATAAATGCAGTAGTGCCAACATGGAAATAGGTTGCTACAATGTAATTGTAGAAGCTAATCATGAGAATTATAAAACATTTAGTGTATACTGACAATATCAAAATCAAATGGAATATTTTGATATAATTAACAATGTCCAGTGTGATGTCCTTTGTGACTTAATATGTATCAAGCCTATAAATATAGATGTGCCGCTTCACAAGTATAATTTACCAGATGACATGTAGCCTGTGCTACCCCAACAATTTCCCTCCTTTGAACTACACTGTATATAATTTGTACTCAAGGAAGTTTCTCAGCATTATATGGAAATACTAGGAATTGAACCTGAGGCATTATGCATAGACATCATGCTTTCTGTCACCAAGCTATAGCTCTTTGAAGGTATCCTGCAGAAGATCTGTTCTGTACAAAGTGATAGACAAGGACTGGGAATCCTGTGGTTTAATTCAGTCAGTAGTGTAGAGTAGTTTCCAAAGTAATACAGCTGCATTACATGACTTTCTCCAGGTTAACTCACATCTTGTGCGTGTGTTGTGTGGACACATGCAGGCTGATGCGACCCCCAGGCTGTATTAAATGGCAGTGTAGAACCACCCTGAATTTCACAAAATGATAGTAACTTGATCCTGGTTAGAATTAATGCTTTTTGACAACATTTTAACTACTGTGGCTCAATGCTATGGAAACATAGAAGTTATAGTTTTATAAATTATTTAGCTTTCATTTCAAAAAAGTGCTTCTGTCTCACCAAACTTCATATCCCAGGATTTCAGTATCAAAACAATGAAACTTTGTTATAGACCAGACTAAGCTCAGCCACCATAGCACAGCGGGTTAAACCACTAGCTGTAGAAAAAGCTGCTGACTGGAGGATTAGCAGTTCAAAGCTGTGAGTCGGATTGAGCTCCCAACTGTCAGCCCTAGCTACTGCCAACCCAACCATTGGAAAGCAGGCATGCGAGTAGATCAATAGGTACTGCCTCGGTGGGAAGGTTAAAGGGCGCCCCATGCAAACATGCAGACATGCCGGCAAAATGATCAGAGATCTCTACAAATAGCAGGTTCCTTGGCATGGAAAAATGGAAAAAGAGCACCTCCCCATGGCTGGAGCTGAGCATCACCTCCAAATGGCAGAGATGAAAAGTGGAAGGCCTTTACCTTATCTGTGTATTGTATGTCGTTGTTCATTGTGCAAAAGGCATTGAATATTTACCTTATATGTGTAGTATAATCCTCTCTGAGACCCTCCAGGAAGATAAAGCGGAATATAAATGATGATGATGATGATGATGATGATGATGATGATGATGATGATTATTCAGATTGAGCATCCTTTATCTGGAATTCCAGAGTCCGAAATACTCCAACATCCAAATTCTAAAAAAAAAAGTCCAAATTCTAAAACACTTCTGGTCCCAACCATTTTGGATAAGGGATACGCAACCTGTTATACCATTTCTAGCAGATTTAAATAACAGTTTCATACATTTGTGGACGATTAGAGGAAATGCTTCGGTACAGTGCCAAGTTGCTTATTTAACTTAATTTTCTTCTGTTTTCCCAACAGTTTGTGGCTCATCCGAACTGTCAGCAACAGCTGTTGACTATCTGGTACGAAAACCTCTCAGGATTACGGGAACAGGCCATTGCAATCAAGTGTCTTGTTGTGTTGGTAGTTGCACTGGGCCTTCCATTTCTCGCCATTGCCTATTGGATTGCACCATGCAGCAGGGTACAGGATTTTTAAACTGGAAATTATTTTGCTCTGTCTGTGTGTATGCGTGTAAATAAATTACAATTGGAAAAAAATCTTCTGAAAATCGGCATGCTTGTTTTTATAAGAGAGATGCAGTAATGTTGGCATTTAGTTCAAACTAATTATACTATTGCTGTTATGATTGTTATTGATCTATTGTTTTCCATTGTGCATTTTAGTGCACAAAATGGTTTGCAGTCCTTATCTGATAATTCTGCCCTGTGAATGAATTTGATACATGTATGTGTGTGTTTTCCACTAAAAGGAAGAAAGTTTCTATGTATAGCAAGTAAAATATTTCAAATAGTTATATAATGGGCTGTCCAAGGAGAAAAATATTATAGTTTGTTTGAATGGTCTACAGCAGGCATGGGCAAACTTGGGCCTTCCTCCAGGTGTTTTGTACTTCAACTCCTACAATTCCTAACAGTCTCAGGCTCCTTCCTTTTCCCCTCAGCCGCTTAAGCTTAAGCAGCTGAGGGAGGAAAGGAAAGGGTCTGAGACTGTTAGGAATTGTGGGAGTTGAAGTCCAGAACACCCGGAGGGCTGAAGTTTGCCCATGCCTGATCTATAGTATGCACCCTGCATATGATAACCTTTTCTCTTGCTCTGATGAATGATCATCTGGGTATTTAAAGCAGCCTATCTTTTAAGACCATTAACAATTGGACAGTGTGTCTGTGGCCCCATCTACACTTCCATATAATCCAGTTTCTGAATCCATATTATCTGCTTTGAACTGGATTATATGGCAATGTAGATCCGGCTGGCGTGTGAGAGAGAGAAGCACTGTAGACGTGGATCTTGTTGAAACTTCGTGATGAAATGGAACAGAGGGTTTTGGGAGTGCTTTTGCTGGCTCTAGGCTTGGAAACAAGTATTTGGGTACTTGAAAAATCCATTCCATGAAGAGGTGGTTTTGAAATGCAATTTTATTTCATTTATTTAAAACATTTTGATACCATACTTCATAAAAACACAAGTATGCTGCGTTTTACAAAAGAAAAGGAAATACAATAATTGTGTCTAGAAATGATGTTGTTAAATTGCTAGCGTATATGGAGGTGTGGTCAGATGTAGCATTAGTTGCTAGAGTTGTGCGCAGAACCATTTTCCTTTGTTTCATCTGTTCTTTTGTTACTTTCGTTACCTTTGGGAGCACGTAACGGGAAGGCCCATCCCGGTACAAAAATCAGCTCGACATGAGCCAATCCTGGCTCCTCACCTACTTTTCATGAGCACGAGTGCTCCATGCCTCCTTGCCTTGGAAAGAGTGTGTGTGTGTGTGTGGGGGGGGGTGCGTGCAAGCCCAGAAAGCACCCACTTGCAGCTGAGCACCTCCTCTAGAGTAAAAATGAGAACTTGCCTCCTTGCCTTGGAAAGAGAGTACATGAGTGTGGTGCACAGGCCCAGAAAGCGTGCATACCTTTTTGCAGCCAAGCGCCTCTTCTAGAGTTAGAATGAGAACTTGCCCCCTTGCCTTGGAAAGAGTGTGTGTGTGTGTGGGGGGGGGGGTGTAGGCTTAGAAAGCGCCTCCCCTCTAGAGTAGAAACAGGTTAGAAGCCTCCTTAAAGTGCTAGCCTGCCTGCAGCTGAATGCCTCTCCTGTAGAGTAAAACATTTTCAATGTCTAAAATGATGGGAGGGGGAGCCTGGAAAGCCCCCCCCCCCAATGATGGGTTGATAGAAAACAGATCTTTTGGCACCACAGAGCGAAAACAGAGATCTGCCCTTCTGATTTCGGGAAGCTCCCAAAAAACAGATCAGGCCCCTCACCAAAAGCAAGATTATGAAACATGTCAAGGATTACCCCCAAAGTACTACCCTATTCATTGCTTATATTTTCACTTCTGGAGTATTTCTTGAAAATGAGAACCCTCATTCAAACGAACAAACCATGTTTTGCTTTGCTTTCTCAGCTTGGAAAAATTCTCCGAAGTCCATTCATGAAGTTTGTGGCACATGCAGCATCCTTTATAATTTTCTTGGGGCTGCTAGTATTCAATGCCTCAGACAGATTTGAAGGCATCACAGTATTACCCAACGAGACCGTTGTTGATTACCCTAAACAGATCTTTAGGGTTAAGACGACACAGTTTTCTTGGACAGAGATGTTGATCATGGTTTGGGTGCTTGGTAAGTATATCACTTCCTTTTGGCATTGTTTGATTTATTTTTAAATAAATTATACACAGAACATGACTTGGGTATAAAACTGTGGTTCACCACAACTGTTGCATATTTTACCTCTGAGCAGAAAACTGGACAAATCAACACAATTACAGTTCAGAAAACAGATTGTAAAATGTAACTTTTAGGAGATGAGGAGTTTGCCAGGTTTTTTTGTCCAGTGCCTCATACATTGGACAAAATGGAAGGAAAAGGGAAGAGGGGCCAACCAAGGGCAAGATGGATAGATGGTATCCTTTAAGTGACTGGCTTGACTGTGAAAGAGCTGGGAGTGGCGACGGCTGACAGGGAACTCTGGTGTGGGTTGGTCCATGTGGTCAGGAAGAGTCAGAAGCGACTGAACAAATGAACAGCAACAAGCCTCATACATTACAGCGCTTGGGTCGATACTCAGGTCATTTGGGAAGAAGCATTCCTTCCTGCTGTCTTCTGAACTACATCCTAAAAAGATGAAAAGGAAATGTCAGCTGATTAAATGCTCCTTTAATATATATATATATTTAGGCAGGATTGACAATATTTTTTAGAATTTACTTCAACAAGGTCTGGTGGTTTTACTGCTTCTTTTCACAAAAGCTTGGGAGTATATTTAAGCCTTTAAAATCCCCTCGGCTTTTCTTCTTTTCTCTGTGATTACCTAGTGTTTACATACTTTCTGCTTGACTTTCCTGTAAGAAAGGAAGGAGGTGTTTATGTTCATCAGCTACTATTTGATGTTAATGAGATCAATCAGGTTGAGTAGTCAGTGGTGTCCACATGTTTTGTTCTCACCTTAATGTGGGATAAAGCAGAGCCCGGAAAACCTATTTTTTAAAAGACTACAGGTTCTGTAGATTTCCAGTCAATATGGCCATTGGATATCCTATTCTGCTGGAATTATTCTCTGCTGAAACGCTTCCTATCTTCATGAATAGCTCTGAGACTGAATGCAAAGTGGAGCATTAATGGTGGCCCATTGCCGCATTCTTGGTGTCTGTAACTATTGGCAGCTTCTGAACTATGCCAGAATGACTAATTATTCCTGAGATTTGTGGATTGTGCACATGTGCGTGCACTTTCATGCCGCTGTCCTGCTACAATCGAGAAGTATTTTGCTTTACTCACATTTTGAGCCATCATGTTTCCCAGCTTGGGAGGAAAGGCAAGATATAAAACAAATACATAAAGAAGTGCTGAATATATATGTGTAATTTATCCTCAAGAATCAGTTTGCAAGTCAGTCAATTATTCTTCAAAGGACATTTTACAAATCACGAGGCACTATTTATCTCATTTTCTCTGTGTGCGATACAAAAAGCGTCTTAGAATTGTTTATTCTTCTAGCCAACTCTCACTGTTTATAGAAGATAATGTTTTCTTCTTGTGATCCTGTGTTTGTCTGAAAATGACACTCCCCTCGCTTTGTGATATATAATTTGTTTTATAACCCATCCCTGTATATTTGGGTCTGAACTTTTAGCAGGATTATTCCTAGGAGATTTCAGTTTAGCCCCCCCTCCCTCTTTTAAACGGATGGCCGACAGGAAGCTCTGGTGTGGGCTGGTACATGAGGTTACAAGGAGTCGGAAGCGGCTGAATGTATAAACAACTGTTTCATTTTTAGAATCTAGTGGTTGCTATTTCCCAATGGCTCCGTCTCTCCAGTAATGTTATGTTATAAAATATTGGGTATTTATAATGGCAGAAGCCCCCCCCCCCCCCCCCCCCCCCCCCCCCCCGGTGATGCAGTGGGTTAAACCTCTGAGCTGCTGAACTCGCTAACCAAAAAGTTGGTGGTTCAAATCCGGGGAGCGAGGTGAGCTCCCGCTGTTAGGCCCAGCTTCTGCCAACCTAGCAGTTCGAAAATATGCAAGTGTGTGTAGATCAATAGGTATTGCTTCTGCAGGAAGGTAAAAGCGCTTCATGCAGTCATGCTGGCCTCATGACCTTGGAGGTGTCGACGGACAACACTGGTTCTTCAGCTTAGAAATGGAGTTGAGTACCACCCTCTAGAGTAGGACATGACTAGACTTAATGTCAAGGAAAATCTTTACCGTTACGTTTTATAATGGCAGAGCACAATGGTCATGAGATCTCTGCCCCCGCCCCCAAACTCCTTCTCTTTGGTTGTTTGATGTCAGCAAAGACACCCCACAACAGTCAGGAGCCGTCTGGCGAGCTGCTGCAGCAATGCATGCAGTGGGATAGGTAAGAGTGACAATCTAGCCAGGGCAAATCAGTTTTAGTCCATCAGACCATCTCAACTCCACCTCTGTTGCTTTCACACGTTAGGACTGGAGTGTGTGAAAGCAACAGAGGTGGACCTTCATTTCATCCAGATCCATTCCAGAACATTTCAGGACTTGCCCCCGATTATTGTGTAACTGTAGGTCAGCATATATGCTGATTGAGATATGAACTATTCTTGCTTGTGTAACACTTGAGCTCCCAGTCTGACAATTTAGTCCTTTGCATGACTACTCAGATTGAGTTGATGGAACTTAGGTCCAGGTTGTTTGAAGGGCCGTATCTCTCGTTATTCACCCATTAGAACACTAAGATCATCTGGGGAGGGCCTTCTTTCTATCCCACCACCCTCTCAAGTCCATTTGGTGGGAACAAGGGAGAGGGACTTTTCTGTGGTAGCTTCTTGGCTTTGGAACTGCCTTCCAAGAGAGACAAGGATGGTCCCATCCCTGCTTGCCTTTCGCAGGCAGGTATAGAAGACACATGTCTTCCGAAACACATTTAGGGAATGATGAGTGGCATGCTGCAGAGGATGTTGTCAGTGGGATTTGGAGGAGCTCCCTAGTTTTTAAATGTAACTTTAATTCTATTTTATTGGTATATTAACTTTTAAAGTAATAACACAAATATTTAATTGTTTTAATGTTTATATTAATATGTACCGTATATTCCGGCATATTAGACGACTGGGCGTATAAGACGACCCCCAACTTTTCCAGTTAAAATATAGAGTTAAGACGACTCCCATGCATAAGACTGCACCTGCGTATAAGACAACCCCTGACTTTTGAGAAGATTTTCTTGGGTTAAAAAGTAGTCTTATACGCCAGAATATACTGTATGTATTTGTCTATTTTAAAAATTCTATTGTACAGTATTGGGTCATATCATTGTTAGCTGCCTTGAGTCCCCAATTAAAGTAAATAATAACCCAACTTACTGCTGCAAAGTATAGTATACTGCAGTCCCAACAGTAAAGATTGTTGTGATAAAGACCATTGGGGGATCTGAGCTGTTAGGCTCAAAAATAACCCTCGGTTAGGGCAATTCCACCAAAATATAGCATAGTACCAGGAGTGAATTCCATAACCAGCAGAAACTTATGTGTGGTGAGAAGGGATAACCTTTTAATCTTTAGGATAGCTCAGGATTGCAGAGCCAGAACTATGGGTTCAAAAATATTTATTAAAGTAAAAAGATATACATTATTGATAGAAAAGTCTTGGAGGTAACTATTTTATTAAATCTCATATTCTAAAGAAGGTAGAAGGTAAAAATATATATCCATGCAGCTACATTTTGCCTGCAGAGGCAAAATGCATCCTCACTGGGAGAAAGAAAAGCAGAAAAGCTAAAACATGGTGGATACTGCATGGCTTTTCCAGGGCAGTTCAAACTTATCAGGAAGTTCCCTCACAGAATTCTATTACTATGTCATCAAAGGAGAAGTAGATTGTGGCTTCAGTAAAAAAGACAAAGCGCTTTTGGGAAACGTGTCAGAATGTGGGAAAAGGAATCCCTGAGCTTAGCCCTGTCTCTAGTCAAGCTACTTACTGAGGATTAGAAACTTGATGACATAAAAACTTGTACATTCAGGGATGAAACACAAGAAAGACTACTCTTATTTGGCACAAGCATTTGTGAGCTGTAGCTTTCTACTTCAGATGGACACTCTCTTCAGATATTTCCACCCTATTCATTTGAAGGCATGAGGATATAGTCCATAAAACCTTATGCCCAGGAAAACATAATCAAATTGTATTATTTTGATTTTATTCTACATGTGTTGAAGGGGGTTCTTGTTATAATTTTGTATGACTTATTTTATACTTTTGTACAATTTTTACCTGTTGTACGTTATATGTGCACCCTGGAGTGCCTTGTAAGTCGCCCCGAGTCCCTTTGGGGAGATGGTGGTGGGATATAAATAAAATTTATGATTAGTATTATTAAAACATACTGGTAATAGTCTTAAAGGTGTCACAAGACATTTTTCTTCTTGATTTTTCTGCATTACTTTAATGGCGCTAACTAGCTACCACCTTGGAAATTACTTGGGCTTTAGTAATCTCATTGTATTACTTTTTTTCTTCCAGGTATGATGTGGTCTGAGTGCAAGGAGCTCTGGCTAGAAGGACCCCGGGAATATATTTTGCAGCTGTGGAATGTTCTGGATTTTGGGATGTTATCGATTTTCATTGCTGCTTTCACAGCCAGGCTATTAGCATTCCTGCAGGCTACAAAAGCACAGCAGTATGTGGACGACAACATTCAAGAGCCAACCCTTTCTTTGGTCACACTTCCACCGGACATTGAATATTTTACTTATGGTAACTTCAAAAGTTTTGCAGTGTTGATTTTTAAAAAATCATATCCTTCTAAGGAAACTAACTAACTAACTATATTATATATATAAGCAATGACTTCATATTAATACTAGCTGTATGATGCAAGGTTTTGTTTACTCTTAGTTTGGTTTTGGCACTTTGATGTCTTTCATTATACCACAGTTATGTACAGAAGGCAGTGTGAGCTTTAAAATATGTGAAAACATTATTGAGATATATGTCTTTTTCTACCAAGTATGCATTGATGCAGCTGTAGTCTGGAAAGGAGATGATTAACAGGAGATGTTATGTACAAAACATTGCTCAGAATATAGTTGAACGTTAGTTTAAAAAACAATTTAGTTACTTAATATTTTGCCTTTATAAAGAGGTATCCTCATCTAACTGCCAGAGAGGTATTTTAGTTTTTGAAAGCATAATGAAAAATAGGCTAAAAAGGGATTTTCTCATTAATGTCATTTCTTCCAGCTCGAGATAAATGGCTCCCGTCGGATCCGCAGATCATATCAGAAGGTCTTTATGCAATAGCTGTTGTGCTTAGCTTCTCCCGGATTGCTTATATCCTGCCTGCAAATGAGAGTTTTGGCCCATTGCAGATTTCACTGGGAAGGACTGTGAAAGACATTTTCAAGTTTATGGTCCTTTTTATTATGGTGTTCCTTGCATTTATGATTGGGATGTTCATACTGTACTCCTACTATCTTGGAGCCAAAGTAAATGCTGCTTTTACTACGTAAGTAACAAGCTATCTTTATGCAATAGGAAGGGCAAAACGATCCCCCTGAATTCCATTTCTGATGCAATCAGCTGGAGGTTTGCAGAAAAGATTGGCTTACACCTGCAGCTACATCACAATGACAGATCACTTAGTTGTTTGGGATGGATTCAGACCCCAGTACTGTACACATTTACATTGGTAAAAACAGGCTGGTACCCAAAGGAAATTGCAGTTAAAAATAGAGAATGGTGAAGAATAACAAAGGGGAGGGAGAGACACAGTAAAGGGGCTTAGATACTGGAGAATCCAGTTATGTATATTTAAAATTTATTACAGCTGGGAAAGAAAATTGAGAGACATGCCATAGTGCTCATTGTATCACTGCATGAAGAGGTGGATGTATATAAAGTTAACACTGCCAAACTGTCATCACCATTGGGAATTTTTTTTATTAAGAAGTAGAAGTATAATTATACTGAACCTATTGCTAGATCAGAAAAACACAATGATTTTTTTTTGCATGCAACACACTTTGCAGAAAATGTTATGTCAATGCTAAATTCATTTGTCATGTAATCTCCATTGTAAAGGTAGTTATGCCAGGTCAGCCTTTTCTGACCTTGTACTTTCAAATGCATAAAACTTTAACTCTTAAGTTAGTTTAAGCCATGTTGACTAGAGATGGTGAAAATTGAAGAGCAGTTGGTTGGAGAAGGCTGCTTAAGTGATGGAAAGTTACAAAAAAACCTGTTTCACACATACTGGCCAACACACTTTTTGGTGCCGCAAATGTTAGCCCTGTTTCTGAGTATATTAAACCTGCTGATTCCAAGAATGGCACCAATTTCCCCCCTATCGGATCTAGTTTTTGGGATGTAAAACATATCCCATATACCACTCTTTGTCTGCTCACCTGTAGAAAAGAAACCAGAGCTGATGCAGTCTATACAATGCAATTTTCTGATTCAGCATCCCAGGTAACCTCAGGTACAAGGCTAAAAACGAAGACACCAATAATTTATTTTCTTTTGTTGGACTTATTTATTTATTTATTGTGTCAGAAGTGAGTTGAGGGTACAGTTAAAATGCATTTAAAAACACAACGTTTTTTTAACAAAGAACTTGGCATTAAGCTAAATGTCCTTTGACCAGAATCTTGCCACTTGGAGTGCCTCTGGTGTCACTGTAAGAAGGTCCTCCATTGTGCATGTGGCAGGGCTCAGACCACCTTGTAGTAGGTGGTCTGTGGTCTGCTCTTCTCTGTACTCGCATGTCATGGACTCCACTTTGTAGCCCCATTTCTGAGGTTGGCTCTGCATCTTATGTTGCCAGAGTGCAGTCTGTTCAGCACCTTTCAAGTCTCCCAGTCTTCTGAGTGCCCAGGAAGGAGTCTCTCATTTGGTATCAGCCATAGATTGAGGTTCTGCCACTTTTGGACTCTCGCTTGTTGAGGTGTTCCTGTGAGTATCTCTGTAGATCTTAGGAAGCTTTCTTGATTTAAGGCATTGGCAGGCTGGCTGATATCAGAACAGAGATTGGCCTACGATGTCAATGCCTTGGTCCTTTCATTGCTGGCTGCTACTCCCCAGTGGATGTCAGGTGGTGTGATACCGACTAAACAGTGTAATTTCTCCAGTGGTGTAGGGCACAGACATCCTGTGATAATGTGGCATGTCTCATTAAGAGCCACAGTTTTAACATGGTGAGATGTTTTCCACACTGGGCATGCGTATTCTGCAGCAGAGTGGCAAAGCTCAAGGGCAGATGTCTTCATTGTATCTGGTTGTGATCTGCAGGTTGTGCCAGTCAGCTTTCGTATGATATTTTTTCCAGCACCCACTTTTTACTTAATATTCTAGCAGTGCATCTTATAAGTCAGAGTAAGGTTCAGAGTGACTCCCAGTAATTTGGGTGTGCTGCAATGCTCCAGTGGGATTCCTTCCCAGGTAATCTTCAGAGCTCGAGATGGTTATCTGTTCTGAAGATGAAAAGCACATGCTTGCGTTTTAGATGGATTAGAAATCGGCTGGTTTTCCCTGTAATAGGCAGTAAGAGCACCTTACTGTTGGACTGTAATCTTGGCATGCACTGAGTGATGAAGATGTATCATATAAACACATACTTATTCAGAGTTCAGGAACTTGAGTCCAGAAACTCTATCTGTGAAGACTCTTAATGCTCCTTTTAAAAATGTCTGTGATTCTACAGCAGCTTTAGTAAGCATCAGATTTGCTTCCTGATTTTTATTGTTATTTGCTTGGAGTTTTTATAGACTGTCTAGGACAGAAGGTGATTCCTGTAAGCAATTTATTTATTTATTTATCGTGTCAGTGCAGCCATTATATTACATTTCTAACAGAACAAAGCAAAAAAACAACAACAACAAAACAGACAAAATACGAAAATTGTGAGTTTGGTAGTTGATTAAATGTCCTTTGACCAGTATCTGGCCACTTGGAGTACTTATGGTGTTGCTGCAAGAAGGTCATCCATGGTGCATGTGGCAGGGCTCAGGTTGCATTGCAGCAGGTGGTCAGTGGTTTGCTCTTCTCCACATTCGCATGTCGAGGATTCCACTTTGTAGCCCCATTTCTTGAGGTTGGCTCTGCATCTCGTGGTGCCGGAGCACAGTCTGTTCAGCGCCTTCCAAATCGCCCAGTCCTCTGTGTGCCCAGCGGGGAGTCTCTCATTTGGTATCAGCCATTGGTTGAGGTTCTGGGTTTGAACCTGCCACTTTTGGACTCTCGCTTGCTGAGGTTTTCTGGCGAGTGTCTCTGTAGATCTTAGAAAACTATTTCTAGATTTAAGTCATTGACGGGCTGGCTGATACTCAAACAGGGGATGAGCTGGAGATGTCTCTGCCTTGGTCCTTTCACTATTGGCTGCTACTTCCCAGCAGATGTCAGGTGGTGCAATACTGGCTAAGCAATGTAATTTCTCCAGTGGTATAGGGCGCAGGCACCCCGTGATAATGCGGCATGTCTCATTAAGAGCCACATCCACTCTTTTAGTGTGGTGACATGTGTTCCACACTGGGCATGCATACTCAGCAGCAGAATAGCACAGCGTAAGGGCAGATTTCTTCACTGTATCTGGTTGTGATCCCCAGGTTGTGCCAGTCAGCTTTCGTATGATATTGTTTCTAGCACCCACTTTTTGCTTGATGTTCAGGCAGTGCTTCTTGTAGGTAAGAGCATGGTCCAGAGTGACTCCCAGGTACTTGGGTGCACTGCAATGCTCCAGTGGAATTCCTTCCCAGGTTATCTTCAGAGCTCGGGATGCTTGTCTGTTCTTGAGATGAAAGGCACATGTCTGTGTTTTAGATGGGTTGGGGATCAGCTGGTTTTCCCTGTAATAGGCAGTGAGAGCACCTAGAGCTTTGGAAAGCTTCTGCCAGTTTCGGCCTTTGGAAAGGGTTTATAATGATTCATGGGAGGCTAGTGCCTCAGTTGAGCCAACCTCGTAAATTCATGCTCGTTTTGTTTTCAAGTGCTGCCAAGTCTAAGTTTTTGCCTGAGAATTCCGTCAGGAAAGCTCCTGTTAGCAATGAGATGCTGCATACAAAATCAGCAATATAAATATATCGTTCACTCTTTGTTTCTAATAATGGAGAGTAACAGGATTCATACAATTCTACAACTTGTACTAAGAATAAGAAAGTCATATTTTAGAATCACCTAGAAAGCAACATCTATGTTAGACTCACTATCAAGTCTGCAGTAATAATATCTAATTTTGTAAGGAAAGAGAATCACACATTTCTCAAAGGCCATAATTTTATAAGCAGCAAACCAGTTTTTCAACCTAGGATGTGTGCACTGGAAGAGGGCAATCCAAGGGTTTCCTGGTAATGGATTAGAGACAATCTAAAGAGTGTGCTAGCTGCATTCTGTTTTTGTGTAATTGGAGGAGACCATATCTACACTTGAGTTCTGTCGTACTCCAGAGCAGGAACACCTCTGATTTGAAACCTCACACCAGCTTGGTGAAAACAGCAAGCAGTTTATTGTAGAATATATGTAGGCAGAGCAGTAAAAAATAGTAAAACAGTAAGAAATCCAAGATAATCCATAGACTTTAACAGAAAACCAGGTCCATTAGTACATAAAAATCCATGGAGCAAGGCACCTGAAAACACGGAACAAAAGAGCAGCAATTCTCATGCAAAAACTTAGACTTGGCAGCACTTGAAAACAAAACCAGCATGAATTAATGAGGTTGGCTCAACTGAGGCACTAGAATCCCATGATTCATTATAAACCCTTTCCAAAGGCCGAAAGTGACAGGAAAGTGTTCTTTTTCACTTTCCCACTAGATAAGGCTTTGTTATCTTTCTTTTGTTGTAAATGAGCAGAATGCCTGAGATTCTGAAAGTTCTGCCTCTGTTTAATAAAACTTTGATTTCTATCCAAGGTTTCACTGTCATCTCCCTCTGCACCTCCCTCTGCACCTGGCAGAGCAATCTCAGCATAATTTTCAGGCTGCTGCTCTGAGAAAAGCAGTGGAAGGTCACATCCCAGGATTGGAGCCCTGGGAATCTTCCCGAAACAGCTCAGGCGTCCCTTCTGAACTTAACTCAGGCCTGTCATCAGGCACACCATACCCATCATACACATCAACATGAACATCATTCCCATCATGAACATCAACAGAAGCATTAGACATAATCACAGGCTGAACAGGCTGACATACAAGTTTTTCTTATCTCTTTTCTTTGCTTATGTTTTTATTTTCAGTTTCAGTTTATTTTGGCTTGGCGAGCTGTATTAATGCATTTTAAGCTCTTACAAAAATCTCAATATCAGAAGAAACAACAATAGTCATGACTAGCTTATCTTTCAGATGACAATGTTAGTTGGTGTATTTCCATCCCTTTACTAATTTTCAAGCACGCTGGCTATAATCCAAAAGTTATGCACACCTTAAATCCACCAGAATCAATGGACTCTTGTGTCTGTATCATTCTGAATTGGATCTAGGGTAGGCACAGGCAAACTTTGGCCCTCCAGGTCTTTTGGACTTCAACTTCCACAATTCCTAACAGCCTGGAGGGCTGAAGTTTGCCCATGCCTGATCTATGGTTTTCCCTTGTAGATTGAAGAAATTTTTTTTGGAAGACTTGTAATCCAACAGAATGTTTTGGGTGGTGGAATATGAGAAGAGGCACAGTTTTGTGGATTCAGTCCTCCTTCCGCAGTCTTCTAATCTCCTCCAAACCTTGATCTGATCCAGAGTGTTGGAAGATCCTCTAAACATCATAGGAAATTATTCTGGGAATCAGCAAAAATCCTTTCTCTCGTTTTTGCTGATTGTAGCATTTGAGGTAGAAATTTGGTCAGAACATGATCCATTTATTTATTTATTAATTCAGGCATTTCTATCCCGCCCTTCTCACCTCCAAAGAGGGACTCAGGACGTCTTACAGCAGGCAGCCATTAGATGCCAAAAAAAAAAAAAAAGCACATTAAAACACACAGTTACAATTAACACAATTAAAACAATTATAAGCATTCAATTAAAAACATTTGCCAGTTAAAACATAAAAATTATAGACTTTATATGGTCCCATAGCCATTCAGTTGAGACTGTCAATACTTGTTTCTTATAAAGTAGTTGTTCCCAACCTTTTTTTGACCAGGGACCACTTGAACAGGGACCACTTTGACCAAGGACCACTCTCCAACATTAGTACCAAAAGGTACTAATTTTTTCGGTCAAATTTAGTTTTGGTTTGATTATCTGAGGTATGGTTCAGAATATTGCATTGGACAGACCCCATCAGCTCTAGTTTCTAATACAAAACATATGTGATCTAGTAGTTGCCATCTGCTCACACACAGAAAATCATATTTAAGCATCTGGAGGTGATGTGGTAGTAGTAATCTTTTGTGGGCAATCAGCCTCTCCCCTTTCAACATCCCTGTTGCCTCAGCAATTTAAGAGGGTTTCGCAAGACCAGTCACTCTCATTGCCGCGTGGTTTCGAGACAACAGTGTAGTAATGGTGAGGCTGCGGACCATATTTTCGTTATTGCAGACCACTGGTGGTCTACAGACCACAGGTTGGGAACCTCTGTTATAAAGCAATCGTTGAATCTGGAGTGGAAGATGGTCAGAAGAAAGAAAATAATACATACATTCTAGTATGCTTTCCTGGTAGACCTTGAGATTTTTCATTTTTTCTCAGTTAATTTAAGATACAAAGCTGCATCCTGGCATATATGGACATCAAATACCAATATACAACTTTCTCATGTCAGATGTAATTCTGTTAATGCAGTTTGCTGTTTACAAACATAATTGGCAATATGCAAAAAGGCACAGGGGAATCCGTTTCTCTGTGTGAATGTTATGTTGTGCTCATTTTGTTTTGATTAAATGTCTGCATTGGGATTTTTGAATTTTCTATTTAAAAATCTTTTTAAAAAGATCTGATTATCACATGAACATTTAATTAAATTCATTAATGTTTTTCTTCTATGCAGAGTTGAAGAAAGTTTCAAGACCTTATTTTGGTCTATATTTGGCTTGTCGGAGGTCACATCTGTTGTCCTTAAATATGATCATAAATTCATTGAGAATATTGGTTATGTGTTGTATGGAATATACAATGTAACAATGGTTGTGGTTTTACTCAACATGCTGATTGCCATGATCAACAGCTCATACCAAGAAATCGAGGTAGGTCTCAATTTGTAGAGCTTTGTTTTGGTATTTTAAGAAGTTCTACAAAAGTTCTTATTGTTATAGAGTTTACCATAAAATAATAAGTTGAATTCTTAAGGAAGTTTATATTGTTCAGGCCTCTACCTGAGTGTGCCTTCCATCTTCTGAATTGTATTTGAACCCTGAATATTTATTATTTGCTGAGATTGTGACAAACTTGCTGTACAAACTGTTGCAATTTTTTTGGAAAATTGAAATCTCCAGAACCTTTTGGAGATTTTATAATATTTGAAAAGGCATGACCTTGAAAGAAGTCATAACCTTTTTGAAAAATGGTGCCGCAACCTCTTGTTAAAAGCATGACCTGTTCAGTCATAACCTTTTGAGAAAAATGACGTTTACCAGAATTCATGCAAAGCAACTGGATTTCTCAACTGTTAAACTGATGTACCTAGATATGTCTTTGAACTGCTAGGGACAAAGATATGACAATGTACAAACACACACAGACACACACATATATATAGCCAGCAGAGTTTCAGAAGTTATCCTTTTTAATTGTCCAAAAACATCTACTCTCCCTTAAAATATGTATGCCTTTAAATTATGTTCTCAAGAAACAAAAATAAGTAGACTTCTTTAAAAGTAACATAGTTGGTTTACTCACAAACTTTATGTATTCAGCATATTTATTTATTATTTATTTATTGCATTTGTTGACCGCCGTTCTCAGCCCCTTAGGGCGACTCACGGCGGTGTACAACATCTAAAAACAGTTTACAATACATATAATTAAACTAAATCATCCGCGTCGTCTCATCATAGAATCATAAACCAATCTCATAATCCATATTCCGTTCCAGTCGTCATTGCTAATTTTATAGCACTTAGTTAAACGCCTTTTCGAATAACCATGTTTTTAGGCTCTTACGGAATGCCATAAGTGAGGGCGCCTGTCTGTGAGGGCGCATACAGGTACTTTGCTTATCAATCCAGATACAAGTAGATTTGAACTAGTTTCTTAAAATCAATAGTCCATAGTCCAAAGCATCTCTCTGTTCTGAGAGTCTAATAGAGTCTCTGTCTAGTCTGAAAGTCCAATGAAGTCTAATGGCTTCTGTACATCATACTATTCCTACAGAAGTCTCTAACATACTGCTCCTGCATTGAAGTCTAAAGCAAACTTCTCTACTGAAGTCTAAACTGAACAGTTTCTAAAATGGAGTCTAAGTCCTGAACAACCCCAGACCTGATCACATGGTATGTAGCCCCTCCCACAACAAAGAGTTAAGGTCAACATGCAAACCAATACACAAATATAATACAGCAAGCAATTATACACATAACAAATAACTAGCGGAGACCTGAGAAGGTTGTTATAACCAACAAAAAATATATAAACTAAATTTAAGATACCATGACTTGACTAATATTTATGGTTCTGTTCGATATTTTCTGTTTATATGCTGTTAATCAGATCTGTCCTTGCCTCTAGCATTTCATTATGAAGTACTCAAATCCTTGTCACATTTACAGATTTTTTAAAAAAAACTATTTTCTAATATTTGTTTTCCTTTTTTGGTACCAGAATGTTGCAGTTTTAATTATATAATTCATGTTATTAATTGCACCCATTTCTAAAAGTGAAAACACCATTCTAATTTACATAATACAAAGCTGTACATCCAAGAGGATAACCATAAATAAAATAAAATGCAGGAGCTGCTGTTAAAATCCAGTTAAAACTAGAAACCAGTGAACTTGATCCAGGATAGGGATAATGTAGTGTTCAAATGTAGCCCTGACAAACATCTAGCTACACATTTTGCAGTAGCTGATGTTTTGAAGTACTTTGATAGGATTACTAAGCTATGTCTGTTCCGCAGCCATTTAATATCTGGCAATCTAATTCATGCTATTTTTTTAGACATAGTTACAATGATTTATGGCTCAGACACTCCTGACATGACCTAGCTGGGAAAAAGTAGAATGCATATAAGAATGTGGGCAATCAATCTGCTAATTACCGTACTTTGCAGATATTAAAACAGTGTCTTATGAAGATGTGCGGATAGAGCTGATGGGCTTTCTACAAAAAAGTCGCAGTTTTGCTGTGTTGATGTAGACTGGAGTGGACAATTGAAGCCCTCCAGATGTTGGAATGCAGTTCTGTTAGCCCTAAGGTCCATCTACATTGTAGAATTGCACCCTTCTTTAATTGACATGGTTCAATGCTATGAAATCCTGGAAGTTGTATTTTTCTGAGGCACCAGCACTCTTTGGCAGAGAGGGAGAAAGATGATGGAAAATTACAACTCTCAGGATGCCTGTCAGGAGACAATGCTTCTGGAACATGGTCAGTAACCCAGTGATTCTGGCCATGAAAGCCTTAGACAACACAATCTAATCAGTTCGTTCTATATGTTTATGTTCAGTATACTAAAAAAGATAATAGCATATTCTACCTGAAACAAAAATATAGGAATTTTTGAACTTCTGACCTTTCACAGGTAAGAATCAGAACATTGAAATGTTATATATGCACAAGGGAAATAAACTAGGACATTCTAAAAGGTTTACACTAAATTTAATGAAATTCTACTTAGTAGTATTCCCCAATGGATTCAATGGCAATTGTTCCCAGGTAAGTTAATATAGGATGATTCTACCCCTCCCTTTTATCCTTACAGCAAACCTGTGAAGTTGTTTGGAGGACAGAAAGACGATTGTCCTATTGTCATTCATTGAAACGGGGGGTTTGAACCTGAGGGCCCATCCAGACACTACCTTTATTGCAGTATCTACTGCAATAGAGGAGGGGCTGTCCAGACAACGTTCTGGACACTCCCAAATTAATTCGCTACAAACCAGGAAAACCCTGGTTTGTAGCGAATTAATTAGATAGTGGGTTTATTCTGCGTCTTCTTGAAAGGCGCAGGATAAACCAACTATTTTTGGCTCTGGACTGCAGAATACTGATTCTCCTGGGATAAACACCTGTCTGGATCTGTCCTGAGTGTCTCTCAGACCTCATTCAACAGTGATGTTTTCTATTGCTGGTCTGGATACTGTCCTCAGTTTAGCTCCCTCTGGTTTCTGTGAATATAAGGATATGACTGAAATAATTCCTTGTCCTGATTGTTTATTATTATTTAGATTGTAGCTCTCAATTTTATTCTATTCAGTGGTGAAATAATGTTTATTCTACAATTTTTAGAGTTAGGAACTTTCAAAGACAGTTTTATAATTGCATGGGTGCAAGTTTTTCAAAGAAGTCAAAAATGCCACTGGCATTGGTAATCTCACAGATGTATATTGAGAGCTGATTGGTGGCCAGCTCTCCATAGTTTTTAAAGACTTATTTAAAAACTAAAACATAATATGAGGAGAGAAGTAAAAAAACAGTTCATAGTCCTTGTATTGTTGAAGGCTTTCATGGCTGGAATCACTGGTTTGTTGTGAGTTTTCCGGGCTGTATGTCCATGTTCCAGAAGCTTTCTCTCCTAGGAGAGAATGCTTCTGGAACATAGCCATATAGCCCAAATAACTCACAATGAACCAGTTCTTAATCCTGTTCAGAGCAATTTGCTTACTTCTTTTAGCAAAGATTTCTATACCTTGGGGGCTGAAACCATCATAAATCAATATGCAAGCCATAAGTGGAATATTATTTATTTTAAAATCTTCACAGGCACTTTAAAATGTATTAACAGTGCTAAAACTGTTTAAAATAGCAGGTAGTAAAATGTAAATTGTAATAAAAAGTGTTCAAAGGCTCATTTAATAAAATAATGATGATGAATCTGTATGAACTTTGGCAGGGAATGAATGTGACAGATGTGGCGCAATCACTGAATGTTAATGACAACACCATTGTTTTTAGTGCATTTTGGCAGATATGTTTATTTCTTGGCTGACATGTTGGCAGAAAAAATATTTAATACCAAGAGTATTGTATTGTAGAAGCCTTTCGTGGCTGGAATCACTGGGTTGTTGTGCGTTTTCTGGGCTGTATGGCCATGTTCCCGAAGCATTCTCTCCTGACATTTTGCCTGCATCTATGGCAGGCAGCCTCAGAGATTGTGAGGTCTGTTGTAAATTACGAAAATTGGGTTTATATATCTGTGGAATATCTAGGGTGGGAAAAAGAACTCTTGTCTGTTTGAGGTAGACCAAGAACAAGTTATAAGATTAAAGACAAAGATCCATCCAGAGGAAAAGTGTTCTTACCATGCATCAAAGGAACCACTGACTGCATAGGGAAGCTGATGAAGAAAACTACAAACAATCTACAGACCCACTAAGAAAATCCAACAAATGCTACATTCAGCAAAGGATAAGAGGAATCCTCTTACTCTGCAGGAGTCTACCGTATACCATGCAGATGTGGACAAGTCTACATAGGGACCACCAAACTCAGCATTGCCCAAACACGAATCAAGGAACAAGAAAGGCACTGCAGGCTAACTCAACCGGAGAAATCAGCCATATCTGAGCTCTTGATGAACCAACCTGGACACAGCATATATTATTTGAGAACACAGAAATGCTGGACCACTCCAACAACCACCATGTCAGACTACACAGAGAAACCATTGAAATCCACAAGCATGTGGACAATTTCAACAGAAAGGAAGAAACTATGAAAATGAACAAAATCTGGTTACCAGTACTAAAAAACTCTAAAATCATAAGTAAATAAAGAACACTCAAAAACAGGGGAATTTGAGACAAGACACAATCAGAGCCAGCTAATCACCTCCCAACTAAGGATTCCCCCAGGCAGTAAGAAGCCAGACCTTGAAACTACTAGGCCATTAAATGCTAATCATCGTGGCCAATTGAAACATTCGTGCCTACCTCAAACAGAAAGAGTTCTTTCTCCTATCCTGGACATTCCACAGATATATAAACCCCATTTTCCTAGTTTCGAATAGACCTCACAACCTCTGCGGATGCCTGCTATAGATGTGGGTGAAACGCCAGGAGAGAATGTTTCAGGAACATGGCCATAAAGCCCGGAAAACTCACAACAACCCATCAAGGATATTGCCCAAGTTTTGATTGCAGGAAAAAAAAAAGAATGGATCTTTCTCTGTTTCTTACCTAGGATGATAGTGATGTGGAATGGAAATTTGCTCGCTCTAAGCTTTGGCTATCATATTTCGATGATGGGAAAACCCTGCCGCCTCCATTCAGTCTTGTACCGAGTCCTAAGTCCTTTATTTATCTCTTCATGCGGATCTTTAGATTATTTATGTGCCGAAGAAAAAGGCTGCAAAAAGATATGGAAATGGGAATAGGAAACTCAAAATCCAGGGTAGGTGGAAAACACTCTATGTGCATTTTGTGTAAATTCATTTTTAAATATTTGATTGTTTTTGAAAGCAAAATAACTATTTGCATTCATGAAATACGTGTTGATCCGGTTGTGTGATAATATGGTGCTGAAATATGAAGATAACTTATATACCCATCAAATCTCACTTAACCAGATGGATGTTTGATATGTAGAATATAACTGGTGCTGGATGAAATGTAAGCTGTTTCATTGAAGATTGAATGCAACCCTCTCCTGCTGTAATTTTGCACAAAATCCCATTTTTCAGCAAACTATAAATTGGAATAGGGAACCTCCATCTCTAAGGTGTAATCCCACGGAGGGTCAGGCTCTGGTTTGCAGAGGCTTCTGCATCACTTCTAAGATTGGAGCCATGGTAGTACAATGGGTTAAACCCTTGTGCTGGCTGAACTGCTGAAGGTTGGTGGTTCGATTCCGCAAGACAGGGTGAGCTCCTGTCTGTCAGCTCCAGCTTCCCCTGCAGGGACAGGAGAGAAACCTCCCACAGGATGGTAAAACATCCGGGAGTCCCCTGGGCAACCTCCTTGCAAACGGCCAATTCTCTCACACCAGAAGTGACTCACTTATGGCACAAAAAAAAAATCACTTCTAAAACTCATCTGATAATCCACATCTGTTATTCCTTTAATGGAAATGAGGAATTCTGCATATCAAGAGTAGGGATTTGCATGCTCTTGTTCAACCCATTCTCTGCCATCATAATTGTGCATGAAATTGAGGGCATGCAGCAGGCAGACGGTTTCTAAATTGCACGCCAAACCAACACATGTGGCTTTCTTTTTAGCGTGTCCACTTATACATTGCCAAAAAACATGTCAAGTCAGGATGCACTGATTTGCCTCTGCATAGGTGCACAATTGAGAATGGTTTTATATAATTTAAGCAGGATTATAATGCATTTCATCCAAGTGGGAAAGACAGTAACCAGGTGAACAGGTGTTACTGCTGAAGCAGCTCTTCAGGTTGCTCTTCCAGGGCTCCTGATAAGGTTCCTTTATATTTAAACCAGCTTAGATTGGACATGCCTTGCAACAGAGGACACTTTCAATAGAGTACTATCTTAAAGCCGTTCTTCCAAGAGATGTCTGGAATGATACATATGGTCACTCTCTCAGTAATGTTGATAGTGACTCTTTTACTTCTAGAGGACAATCAGGATGGTGATGGAGTGGCTGGAGTTAGCACATTTGTATCAGTTTTCTCGCATGATTCTAAGGGCCCTCCCACACAGCCATATAACCCAGAATATCAAGGCAGAAAATCCCACAGTATCTGCTTTAAACTGGGTTATCTGAGTCCACAAGGCCATATATTCCAGTTCAGAGCAGAAAATGTGAGATTTTATTCAGCTGTGTGGAAGGAACCTAAGTCAGGCTGTTCTCATGCAGCAATATATTGCATGAAGCAGACCAGATTAGCCCTGTTATTTGCCAAAATGAAGCATATGCTCCAGGTGGCAAAGACTGAGGCTAAACAGGAGCATCTCCAGCCATTCCTCCTGGGTTCTTTCATCACCAACTCTTTTCAGAACACACAGGTAAGTGCATCCCTAAATTAGCTTTGTGCTCTCCATTTTGGTGGAGAATTATTTCCCTGTTACCACTGGTGAGTAAGTACTAGCCCTGGAGTGAAAGGGAAGCCTTGTTTTGTCTCATCTCAAGCAGCAAAATGTCTTGGGTTGACCCTCCAGGTAGGATGGACAGACCTCTCTACTGCTGGTGTCCTTCACTGTGGCTGGACCTACACATAGGCTTCCACAATGGTACTTCAAGCATATTTGGGAAAGGAAGGAAATGAAAACTTGTTCTAATTATCAGCTTGACTTTGATAGAGAGCGATGCCACTTATTTCAAATCAATTCAAATCGAGCCCCCAGTGACCTTTGTGCTGGCAGGACTGAAGACTGACAGGTCAGAGGTTCGAATCCAGGGAGAGCGTGGATGAGCACCCTCTGTCAGCTCCAGCTCTCCATGCAAGGACATGAGAGAAGCCTCCCACAAGGATGGAAAAACATCAGAACATCTGGGCATCCTATGGGCATCATTCTTGCAGATGGCCAGGTCTCTCACACCAGAAGTAACTTGCCATTTCTCAAGTCACTCCTGACACTCACAAAATAAATTTTCAAAATTCCAACCTAATATTTCTTTATGGGAATAGGTTCTGACCAAATCCGAATTTCAAGTCTTCAGAGATATTTTGCACTGTAAGAAATTAATGACAGGTGAATCAGTACTTGATACATTGGTACACTTGTGTCTTTCCCATTTCTCTCCACAATTAACATGTGGAGATAAGTTGAAAGTGCTTTCACTAATGTCCGGAAGTTCAGTTTAACATTTGTAGAAACCCATTTTAAAAATTCAACTGAATGTGCGAGCTATGGCTTCCAAGGCATTTTGCCACTGCCATGGTGCATTTGGTATATCAGTGAGGAAGTCTGCTAATTCAATTACAAAAGCTGGAACAAGTTGAGCTCATAAAATTATGAAGGAACAAAACCAATAGAAGTAACATCATAAAAGGCATTGGCTCCATAGACTGGTCTTTATTCTTAACACATTTTTATATCTTGTTTTTCAAGGGAAAAATGTTCCTTAGCAATTTTGGACTTTATTTGATGATGAAAGAGCGATGTTAAGACATCAGAGTGAGAATAAGACTCACCCTTATCTATATATCTATATATAGATATATCTGTTTCCTTTATGTGTAAAATAAATGCTGATGGCTGAGGGATGTGCCGCAAGTTCTCTTTTTTGTCTCAGTCTTTTATATTATGTCTGTCTTCACCCTTTGTTGCAGTCTCATCTTTGCCTTCTGTGAGCCCCTCGCTTCTGTTGACCTGTTTCCATACTAAGGAGCTGAATATCTACATTAATAGCAAGAAGCCCTTTCTGCCGTTATGAAGGAACATAAAGATTAACCATGATAACAACAAGCTCTTTTTTGAAGATCTAGTTTCACTCCCCCTCCCCCCATTATTCATTTATTTCAATATTATAAATATTGTTTAATTCAGAAGTCCTTTAGTGTGCCACTAATACTGGAAATGGGAGTTGTTGAACTTTGCAAACCATTGTATTGTCGAAGGCCTTCATGGCCGGAATCACAGGGTTGTTGTGACTTTTCCAGACTGTATGGCCATGTTCCAGAAGCATTCCCTCCTGATGTTTTCCTTGCATCTATGGTAGGCATCCTCAGAGATTGTTAGGTCTGTTGGAAACTAGGAAAATGGGGGTTATATATCTGTGGCCATACAGCTTGGAAAACTCACAACAACCCAGTGCAAACCACTCTTTGGTTTGCAGAATTGTTAACTGTTTCCCAGGTATACATTACTCTTTATGGTTCTGCTGCACGGATAGTTAAAATACATTCACTGTCCTTCAAATTGGGACCAAAAAATATTTATAAGTGGTTGTAAAATCAAAGCTGAACTTGTTTCTTCAAAATGTATGCTGAAAGACATACGTTCCTATAATCAGTGATAACATGATGGTAGATTATAGTTGCAGATCCCATGGAAGATATTCTAATTTAGATTTATTCTTTCTTAGCTAAACCTCTTTTCTCAATCCAACTCGAGGGTTTTTGAATCACACAGCTTTAATAGCATTCTCAATCAGCCAACACGCTATCAGGTAAGTCGTTACCTGAGCAGCTCATGCAGTTGTGATTATATGAGTACTCTTTGAGTTTCCGTGCAGTTACTATGTAGGGATGTCACAAGGATTTTGTGTGTGACATCTGCTAACTTTTTAGTACAGAGATTGCAGGAAGGGGCAAAGGTGTTAATGTTTCCTGTTCTCTTCTACAACTTCCTTTTGTGCAGATTTCCAAACTATCATTTCAATTTAGGGAGCATTTCAAGATTGTGTGTCAGAATATTTGGGGAGGAAAATGGTAGTAATTTGGTGTGCTGCATACTCCTGGATCACAATCCAAACTGGTTAAACTACATTCATAAACATCGATTTTTATGAATGTTTAAAACAGTGGTTCCCAACCTTTTTTTGACCAGGGACCACTTGACCGGGGACCATTTTGACCGGGGACCACTTTGACCAAGAACAACTTTGACCAGGGACCACTTTGACCAGGAACCACTTTGGCCAGGCACCACTTTGGCCAGGCACCACTTTGGCCAGGCACCACTTTGACCAAGGAGCACTTTGACCTGGGAACACTTGACCAGGAACCACTTTGGCTAGGGGCCACTTACACCAGGAGCCACTTACACCAGGAGTCATTTTGACCAGGCACCACTTTGACCAGGAACCACTTCATCAGAGACCACTTTAACCTGGGAACACTTGACCAGGGACCACTTTGATGAGGGACCACTTTGACCAGGGACCACTTTGACCATGGACCACTTTGACCAGGAACCACTTTGACCTGGGAACACTTGACCAGGAACCACTTGGACCAGGGGCCACTTTCACCAGGAGTCACTTTGACCAAGGACCACTTCACCAGAGACCACTTTGACCTGGGAACACTTGACCAGGGACCACTTTGATGAGGGAACACTTAGACCAGGGACCAATTTGACCAGGGACCACTCTCCAACATTAATACCAAAAGGGTTATGAATCAGTTTTTGGTCAATTTTAGATTAGGTTTGGGGTGCCGACTCAGAAAATTGCATTGAATAGGCCACATCAGCTCTAATTTCAGATACATAACATATGTCATGGTCAGCGACAGGGAAGGAGTGGCAGGCAGCACAAAAGACGTGGATATAAAATAAATAAAATAAATAAATAAAGAAGGAGGAGGCACGCGGACCAGATTTCCATCCTCGTGGCCCACCAATTGTCCGTGGCCCACAAATTAAGAACCACTGGTTTGAACCAATTCATTAACTAATTTTACTGGATTCATAAGTAGATTGATTTAGGATCCTACTTTATAAAATCTTTAGAATTACTGAAATACAAAATGCATGATGGAATTAATTCAGCTACAAAGCATTATGATTTGACTGAAAACTGAAATACAAGCCTAAGACTCTAAAGGGATAAAATATGTTTTGATCTTCTTTAAGTTTAATACTACAACTTTAATAAATTATTGCTTCTAGCAATAAAAGGAAATATTTTTATTGCCATCACTGTTGTTTTGTAGTTCTTAGAGGCACCAGTGAATGCTAAATTATCGAAAAAATATTGTGCCAAAAGGTCAGAATATGATATAGTGCATCTGAAGAAGACCAGTGAGAAAAAGATAAAACATGAATAATTTAAATACTAATCTGCATAAATAAACATGAGCATATTATTCAAATACAGGGATATAAAATACTTTCCCATGCCCTTCTCTCTTTCTCTCACATTACTGTTGGTGCAAGTCTGACCTTGAGATATATTATATATGATGTTTTTTAAAAAATTAAAAATTTAGACCAAAGCTTTGGGAGTTGGTTTTGAATACAAGAGAACAATCTAAATCTTGACTCAACATAACATTTCCGAGACCAGACTCTGAAATGTTTTGTTTTTCTAACCCACACAGCAGAGACTTTCACTTCACGCAATTCACTGTATGGGTTTGTTCATAAACACCTTTGTGCCATTGCAGAACTTTCTCACTTGTCTTTTTTGGAGTTATTGTGCTGCTGTTGTTCCATAGCTCTGACCTTGCCTTGCAAAGTCTAGCCAGGCCAGGTCTAAACTGGGTGTCTTTTCACCAAAGCGTACTGTTCTTTTCTGTGATCCTGTATGTTGATACCCTTGTTTTGACCCTTTGCTGGTTCCTTTTTCTGTTGACATTGGGGTAGTTTGCAATGAGAGGGAGTGGTTCTGCTAGATAGGAATTCCCTCACTTTTTGAAAACAGGAGAGGTTTTTTAAAGTCTTTGCTGACACCTTGCGGTGAAATGGGCTTATGTTGCTGAAAGAAAAGCTGATCTTTTGCTCAATTGATTCATGTTTGAAAGCTACATAAATAACACTCTGGGGTGTGTGTGTGTGTGTGTGCTTGGTCTTGTATTCTGTTCCGATTTCCTACCATGTTAAACTAATTGGCCATAAAAAAGTCCAAAACTGGAACGTGAGCACACCACAACCCTCCTGTTCATCTTCTGCTGCAGCTGGAATCTGAGCAAAGGATGAAAATGATTATTTCTGGGTATTAGGGGTGTATTTGTACTGTTGAATGAATGTGGCTTGATACCACTTTTAATTGTCATGTTGGAATTGTTGGAGGTGCACTTTGGTGAGCACTGTTTCGGCAGTCAAAACTAAAAACCTTGTTGTAAAACTACAACTTCTCATATTCCATAGCGCTGAGCCATAGTAGTTAAATTGGCATCAAACTGCATTCGTTTTACAATGTAGACACATCTCTAGAATTCACCAGGCAGTGTGACTGTGGGGGGAATTCTTGGAGTTTTCATATAAAAATGACAAGAGCCATTTGCTGCCCTGTTCTTTGAGAATTTGTCTAATGGCCTTTGATGGAATTTAAGACAGCAATAAATAAGTGTGAAGATGGAATATTTATGCTGAAATGAATGGTTGCTTCCAAGGGACATTCTGTTGGAATGAATATTCTGATGATGTTTGCACAGAGTAGTTCCTGTAAGCTTTTGTGGTTGCTTTGAAGTCATTAAGAGATTGTACAGATTGTCCTAGAGCTGATGAACTAATGTTTTTGTATCCAACAGCAAATTATGAAAAGACTTATAAAACGTTATGTTCTGAAAGCACAAGTGGACAAGGAAAATGATGAAGTCAATGAGGGTAAGGACTGCTTTGTAATGATACAACGGTTTTTAAGTGCTATAGCCAAAAATGTCTGAATTAGACCATTGCACAGTGGGTTAAACTGCAGAGCTTCTGAACTTATGGACCAAAAGGTCAGCTGTTCAAATTTGGGGAGTGGGGTGAGCTGCCACTGTTAGCCCCAGCTTCTGCCAACATAGGAGTTCGAAAACATGCAAATGAGAGTACATCAATAGGTACCGCTTCAGTGGGAAGGTAACTGCGCTCCATACAGTCATGAAAGCCACATGACCTTGGAGGTGTCTATGTACAATGCCAACTCTTCAGCTTAGTAATAGAAGTGAGCACCACCTCCAGAGTCGGAAATGACTAGATTTCCTGTCAAGGGGAAACCTTTACCTTTACTACAATAACTGATACACTATAGTAATATTAATACATTATATTTTAGTTTATATGTGGGGCAAGCTGCAATGCAATTTCTAACTGATCATCTTTTTTACATTTCTGGTCATTCCAGGATTAGAAACACACTAAAAATAACCCACAAAGAAATTTTCAGGATATAGGTATTATATTGGCCACTTTGTTAATGAGTTCCATAGATGACTTGCTTGGATAATCATGGCACCTTATAATATTAAAGTGAATATTAGTATGATATAAAACCAAATATGTGGAAAGATTGCATACCATGTTTGTTCATTAAAACTATCTAATCTAAACACAAAATACCCTGTATATCTCAGACAGGGATGGGAAGATTTGGCTCTCCAGATATTGGACTACAATCCCTGCCTGCTTATCACTGGTTGTACTGACTTGGGTGGCGGGGAGCTGCAGTCCAACATCTAAATGGCCACATGATTCATAGAGATCATCTCTGTCATTCTGACTTCTCTGGGGCAAGATACTCAGTTTTCATAAAGAGGTGGATTTCATCTTGTATCATTCATTGGAAAGATTTGATGTGTTACAAACTTTATTTTCAAAATAAAATTCATTTTTAGACATGTCGCACTCTCGGTACAGGATTAGTCAGGGCTTCTGAAACAGTCAAACCATAACAATCCTTCTTCCTTTCCTGGGAAATGGGAAGCCCCTTTAAAATGCCTTGGAAAACTGGACTATGCAGACTCAGACTTGGTTGTGTTAATATTTCAGGGCCAATATTTTTAATGTATTTTATTGCTTTTTAAATGTATTTTTATTTCTGTTTATTGCTGTTGACCTGTTTATGTTAATTGTTGTGCTTTAACTGTTTCTTTGTTGGTATCGAATGACTGTCAATTGTAAGCCATCCTGAGTACCCCTTCGGGGGTTGAGAAGGACGGGATACAAATGCTCTAAGTAAATAAATACCAATATGACCAACAGGTTAAGGAAAGAGTGAATTTTTAAAATCTGAAAAAGTAAATGATCGATTTGAACAGCAGATATTTTATTTAAATATTTCTATTTTAGATTCATCTCAGCAAATCTAAATACAATTCCTTGTGATTTCAGTAGGAGTGCAAAACATCTATTTCAAATATTCTGCCATTAACTATCATTATTTTTATTACTTACACAGGTGAATTAAAGGAAATTAAACAAGACATTTCAAGTCTTCGCTATGAACTTCTGGAAGACAAGTCTCAGGCAACAGAGGAGTTGGCAATTCTTATACATAAACTCAGCGAGAAACTCAATCCAAATATTTCACGATGTGAATAAACTCAAAATGACCTATTCTACTGCATATGCTTGTGTATAAGTTGACAGAAAAATCAACCCTCTAAACCTGAGCTGACTTATCCAGAGGACAATGCTGGAAACAGATGGCGATGATCTTGGCTTGGTGAGCTGTGGGCTCCCTGTCATTTGGGGCACTGGAGGTGGAGTAGCAGTGGCCATTTTTAATAGGGACTTACTATGTAAACCTTATGAAGCTTGTCAGTCTCTCTGCTTGCATTAGGAAGGGTTATACAGTAAGTCCCAATTAAAAATGGCTACTTCTACTTCACTCTGCCTCAGATGGCAGGCATGCTACATTCTTCAGGCTTCCCACATTGTTACTGATTGCAACTCAGGTTGGGGAAAAAAGGCGAGGAAGGGAGAAAGGAAGGGTGCTGTTTTCCCTCTGTTTAGGCAAGGGATCTTGGGGTGAGACCCCACTGCACCAAGATGAGCTTCTTATCTTTGTTTTTTTTATCACTGCCTTCATGCTGGAACCCTAATAGAGACAGATTGCTTTCCTTACTCTTTTCCCTCCATTTTTTCCAGGTAGAATTCTCATCTCTGTCCTCATGTATATTCCTTCCCCTATCTGTAAATGTACAGATGTCGAAATTTTAAGATCAACAATTTTATACTCCTCCCATTGAAACCCCTCAAATAAACAGAACCTCTACTGCTTTTAGCTATCATCTTTATTCACAGCTATCACAGGAGCCCCCAAGTGGCATAATGGGATAAATCCTTGTGCCAGCAAAACTGCTGACCAAAAGGTTGGTAGTTTGAATCCGGGGAGCAGGGTGAGCTCCTGTCTGTCAGCTCCAGCTTCTCATGCGAGGACATGAGAGAAGCCTCCCACAGGATGGTAAAACATCCGGGTGTCTCCTGGGCAACGTTCTTGCAGATGACCAATTCTCTCACACCAGAAAGGACTTGCAGTTTTTCAAGTCACTCCTGACACGAAAAAAACAAACAAACCTGTGGACAAATCAAGGCTAAAACTTAAGGGCTCGTAACAAATCTGTTTTGTCACATGTTCCTGATTTTAGGCTTGATTTATCCATGGATCATCGCAAAACTCATGATTTTGGCTTCCAAACCTGCCCTTAACTCTTGTACATGAGGTTGATCTATACACAAGTATATATGGTAATTTATTCCCTGGATTTTGACTACAGCACAAGTATTGGCAATAATATTTCTGAGTGACTTATACTTGAAAAATAAATCATAGATTTTTAGCACTAAATAACTTTATGTACAGCTTTCTTTGAAATACAGTCTTAGCCAATTTTATTAATGTACATGCAAAAAAATATTCAGTTTATTTAATGTGTATGAAAAAAACATATTTTGCATTTATTTAATATGGTACAACTGTATCTAAACAATCTTGCTTTACTAATAGTTTTCTGAATAAAGTTTATGTTCTTTGGACTGAGCAAAGAAAAATTAACTTTGTAGACCAGGGATGGGAAATGTATGGCCCTCCAGTTGTTTTTAGATTGAAGTAAATGCAATCCTTCACCATTGGTTATGCTGGGTAGGACTGATGGAATGTATATGCTAAAACATTCGGAGGACCATTCTTTGCCAGCCTGTCCTATAGACCAGTGTTTCTCAACCTTCCTAATGCCACAACCCCTTAATACAGTTCCTCATATTGTGATGACCCCCAACCATAACATTATTTTCATTGCTACTTCATAACTGTAATTTTGCTACTGTTATGAATCGTAATGTAAATATCTGATATGCAGGATGTATTTTCATTCACTGGACCAAATTGGCACAAATACCCGATATGCCCAAAATGTGAATACTGGTGAGTTGTGGAGGGGATTGATTTTGTCATTTGGGAATTGTAGTTGCTAGGATTTATAGTTCACCTACAATCCAAGAGCATTCTGAACTCCATCAGCACTGAAATTGAACCAAACTTGGCACACAGTACTCCCATGACAACAGAAAATACTGGAAGCGTTTGGTGGGCACTGACCTTGAGTTTTGGAGTTGTAGTTCACCCTACATCCAGAGAGCACTGTGGACTCAGGCAATGATGGGGCTGGACCAAACTTGGCACGAACACTCAATATGCCCAAATGTGAACACTGGCGGAGTTTGGGGAAAATAGACCTTGATATATGGGAGTTGTTGCTGGGATTTATAGTTCAGCTATAATCAAAAGAGGATTCTGAACCCCACTAACAAGAGACTTGGACCAAATTTCCCCACACAGAACCCCCTTGACCAATAGAAAACACTGTGTTTTCTGATGGTCTTTGGTGATCCCTTCGACAACCCCTCGCAACCCTCCCTCAGGTGTCCCAACCCCCAGGTTGAGAAACGCTGCTATAGACTAAGTCTGCAATCCTAAACCTATTTATAAGAGAGTAAACATGTTTAGAATTGTATTCTGTACCTGATCTCCATCACGTTGGTGTGAACACAATTCTTTGAAATGTATTGAATACAGTTCAGCCAGACCTTGAAAGAGTACTTGAAATGATCCAGGCAAAGTTAAACATATTTAATTTCCTCTGATTTTAGCAGCATGATCTTTCCCAATAGGCTGGATCTAGATAGTTACACATATAATGTGTCTCTTAAAATAAATACAAGAAATGTGGATTAATCTAAGATTGCAAGCGGTCTGCTGTTAGTATGACCAAGATTGGACCCAACTCGAGGAAACCTAGAGCTTAATATTATGCATGTTAATTAGGTGCAGTCCCCACCTCCTGTTTAATGGATATTTTTTCTTAAGATGGTGCATAAGACTGAGGTCTTTAAAGTGCTTAACTTTCACTGGATCATATCCCCTTATTTATCAGCTTTCTTAATGAACAACAACAACAAAAGCCATGGCATGGGCAACTGAATGTTTAACAGTGAAAATAAAATGTGACTATAATATTAATAATGCCTTTATAGTTACCTGCATATGTTATAATTTGCATCATATTTGCTTTCAGACTAGGAAGTAGCTTGTTTTTTTTAAAAGAAAACTTATAACTAATGTAAACTGTGGAAACAGACCTTTTCATGTGGTGACGATAATTTTTTTAAAATTTTAAGATACTATGCAGGGCTAATATTTTGTTACATTGTTCTAAATAATGCCTCTGATGCTTTCCTGTTAAATAAAATATTCCTACTTTATTGAGTCTTGTTTTGCTTTTACCGCTCTGTCAGCTGAATATGATATTGCACAGATCCTTTCAGGTAAATACAGTACAAATGTAGACATGTCTATTTAAAATAAAATCCCATTGGGTAGAGGGGTTTCCACCCAGGTAAAGGCATGTATTAATGCAGCCATGTCCATTGAAAGTATTAAATTAACAGTCATATCAATTGAAAGTACTACCCCACCTGCCTAGTTTCCAACAGACCTCACAACCTTTGAGGATGCCTGCCAATGATGTGGGTGAAACATCAGGAGAGAATGCTTCTGGAACATGGCCATACAACCCGGAACATTCACAGCAACCATGAAATAAATCATAGAATCATAGAGTTGGAAGAGACCTTGTGGGACATTCAGTCCAACCCCCTGCCAAGAAGCAGGAAAATCGCATTCAAAGCGATTTGACAGATGGCCATCTAGCCTCTGTTTAAAAGCCTCCAAAGAAGGAGCCTCCATCACACTCTGGGGCAGAGAGTTCCATTGCTGAACAGCTTTCACAGGAAGTTTTTCCTAATGTTCAGATGGAATCTTCTTTCTTTTAGTTTGAAGCCATTGTTCTGAGTCCTAGTCTCCAGGGCAGCAGAAAACAAGTTTGCTCCCTTCTCCCTATGACTTCCCCTCACATATTTATACATGGCTATCATGTCAAATCTCTGAATTCTCTTCTTCAGGCTAAACATGCCCAGCTCTTTAAGTCGCTCCTCATAGGGCTTGTCCTCCAGACCCCTGATCATTTTAGTCACCTACAGAAAGTAATTATTGCTACATAATTCTTAATTGGTAGTATGCATTACTGGAAACAACCTATTACCTGCCTGTGAATGACCCATTGAGTTCCATCTTTTCGGGATCTTGTGGGCAGCTCATTCAGTCTCATTTCCGCATTTTTTCCTGTTTTCACCTCTTGTCACCTAGCTTAATATTCTGCAGGACTCAAAGGCTTGGATACTTCTGTGGCATCCTGGGTGGTCCTAATAAAGGTATTACACAAGTGTGGATACTGTTTTTATTTGCGCATTAGCACAACTACATTACATTTAAAGCAAAGAAACTTGAGCTCATGTATAGGTCTCCTCTTCCCAAATCCCCTAATATGATGAATGATATGGTGGTTTGAGCATTGGACTATGACTGAAGGCCAGGGTACAATTCCATGCTCAGCCGTTGGATTATTTTGGGCAAGTCACACAATCTCGGTTAAAGTGGTGCTAAACTGCATTAATTCTACAGTGTAGCTGTATTCTTTGCCCTCTGTGCCTTGCAGTTGACTGATTTGGCCTCACGTGCTTTACAATGGCTTGAAACGATGATTTATTGAATGCCTGTATTATTATCCTCTGGGAATGCTGCCACCGTTCCTTGGAATGTGCTTGATGCTGATTATAATGGGTCAGGGTCACTTTAATGTCACGTCTACCAGTAGAATATTTGGAAGGCAATGCAAAGATGTTATGCAACGAATGCCAGGTGGCAGAGTGACAGGTAGTAGTGAGCTGTTATTAAGCTTTTAAAAAGGCTTGCAAGTGGCTAGACAGTTTTGCTTGCTTTGGGAATGGCTACCAGGTACCCCTTTCTCCATGTATTTACCAAAGAGCTATACAGGATATTCAGCAATGCGTATTCCTTTTGCAAACATTTTGCAAACATTTTAATTTAAATGTAGTTTTTTGTTTGCTTCTAGTTGGCCTCTGTTTCCTATGGTGTAACATTAGAAAATGTTGACCATTTCCGCTACCTTGGCAGCCACCTCTTCATAAAAGTCAACATTGACACTGAAATACAACACCATCTGAGCTCTGCAAGTGCAGCATTCTTCCGAATGAAGAACCGGGACATCCGTAGGGATAATAAGGTGCTTGTTTATAAAGCTATTGTCCCCCCAACCCTGCGACATGCCTGTGAGACATGGACTATCTACAGATGTCACATGCAACTCCTAGAACTATTACATCAGTGTTGCCTCCAAAAAATCCTGCAAATCTCTTGGGAAGACAAGCGGACAAATGTCAGCGTGCTGGAAGAAGCAAAGACCACCAGCACTGAAGTGATGGTCCTCCGCCATCAACTCCGCTGGACCGGCTACATTGTCCGGATGCCCGACCACCATCTCCCAAAGCAGTTGCTCTACTCCGAACTCAAGAACAGAAAACGGAATGTTGGTGGCAGGAAAAGAGATTTAAAGATGGGCTCAAAGCCAACCTCAAAAACTCTGGCATAGACACTAAGAACTGGGGAGCCCTCTCCCTTGAGCGCTCCAGCTGGAGGCCAGCTGTGACCAGTAGTGCTGTAGAATTTGAAGAGGCACGAATGGAGGGCGAAAGAGAGAAACGTGCCAAGAGGAAGGCACGTCAAGCAAACCCCAACTGGGACCACCTTCCACCTGGAAACCAATGCCCTCACTGCGGAAAACATGCTTATCAAGAATCGGGCTCCACAGTCACCTACGGACCCACCGCCAGGACACCAATCTTGGAGGACAATCCTATTCTAACAACAAGGGATCGCCTAAGTACAGTATATTCTGGCGTATAAGACTACTTTTTAACCCAAGAAAATCTTCTCAAAAGTCAGGTGTCGTCTTATAAGCGGGTGTAGTCTTATGCATGGGAGTTGTCTTAACTCTATATTTTAACTGGAAAAGTTGGGGGTCGTCTTATACGCCCAGTCGTCTTATATGCCGGAATATACGGTAAGTAAATAGGTATTTAGATATACCTGGACACTCTTAAGGATAGAGCTACTTCAGGCATGGGCAAACTTGGACCCTCCAGGTGTTTTGGACTTCAACTTCCACAATTCCTAACAGCCAGTAGGCTGTTAGGAATTGTGGGAGTTGCAGTCCAAAACACCTGGAGGGCCCAAGTTTGCCCATGCTTGATTGACACTGTAGAATTAATGCGGTTTGACACCCCTTTAACTGCCAGGGCTCAATGTTATGGAATAATGGGAGTTGTAGTTTGGCAGAGAAAGCTAAAAGTGACCATGATTCCATTGCATTGACCTATGGCAATTAAAGTGGTATAGAACTGCATCAAATCAACAGCGTAGATGCATGTCCTGGAAGGCTTATAAATTTGCTCATTTTCAAATTGTCCTTAAGGCCCCTTCCACACAGCTGAATAAAACCCCATATTATCTGCTTTGAACTGGAATATATATGGCAGTGTGGATTCAAGATAACCCAGTTCAAACCAGATATTGTGGTATTTCCTGCCTTGATATACTGAGGGCCCTGCCACACAGCCATATAACCCAGAATATCAAGGCAGAAAATCCCACAAGATCTGCTTTGAACTGGGTTATCTGAGTCCACACTGCCATATATTCCAGCTCAAAGCAGAAAATGTGGGATTTATTCAGCTGTGTGGAAGGGGCCTGGGTTATATGCTTTTGTAGCAGAGCCCTAAGTCTTCGTGTTTCAGTTTCTTTGGCTGGAAATAGGGTCTCTTCCACACAGCCCTATATCCCAGAATATCAAGGCAGAGAATCATAGAATCATAGAGTTGGAAGAGACCTCATGGGCCATCCAGTCCAACCCCCTTCCAAGAAGCAGGAATATTACATTCAAAGCACCCCCAACAGATGTCCATCCAGCCTCTGTTTAAAAGCTTCCAAAGAAAGAGCCTCCACCACACTCCGGGGCAGAGAGTTCCACTGCTGAACGGCTCTCACAGTCAGGAAGTTCTTCCTAATGTTCAGTTGGAATCTCCTTTCTTGTAGTTTGAAGCCATTGCTCCGAGTACTTGTCTCCAGGGCAGCACAGAATCATAGAATCATAAGAGTTGGAAGAGACCTCATGGGCCATCCATCCAACCCCCTGCCAAGAAGCAGGAATATTGCATTCAAAGCACCCCTGGCAGATGGCCATCCAGCCTCTGTTTAAAAGCTTCCAAAGAAGGAGCCTCCACCACACTCCAGAGCAGAGAGTTCCACTGCTGAATGGCAGAAAACAATCTTGCTCCCTCCTCTCTATGACTTCCTCTCACATATTTATACACGGCCATCATGTTTCCTCTCAGCCTTCTCTTCTTTTTTTAGTGTTTTATTGTTTTTGCTTGATGTTTTATTTGCTTATGAGTTTTACTGTTGTATTTGTATGTTGTTGTTTGTTCGCGGCCTTGGCCTTTGTAAGCCGCATTGAGTCCTTCGGGAGATTTTGCGTGGTATAAATAAAGCTAATTAATTAATTAATTAGTTCTTCAGGCTAAACATGCCTGTATGTTGTTGTTTGTTCGCGGCCTTGGCCTTTGTAAGCCGCATCGAGCAACATTCCTGCTTCTTGGCAGGGGGTTGGACTGGATGGCCCACGAGGTCTCTTCCAACTCTTTGATTCTATGAGTCCTTCCGGAGATTTTGCGGGGTATAAATAAAGTTAGTTAATTAATTAATTAATTCTTCAGGCTAAAGATGCCCAGCTCTTTAAGCCACTCCTCACAGGGCTTGTTGATCATTTTAGTCGCCCTCCTCTGGACACACTGGAATATATGGTAGTATGGACTCAGATAATCCAGTTCAAAGCAGATATTGTGGCATTTTCTGCCTTGATATTCTGGGATATAGAGCTGTGTGGAAGAGCCCTAGGAAGACTCTTGAGGGCCTCTCCAGCCTTCTTTCAGTGTCTTAAAATCCCAGATGATCTTCCCTCAGTACTCCTTAGATAAAGGATTTTGCTGGATTGGCCGTCTCCTTGTCCAATGACAGCGCGCGTTCCAAGGCGAGCCTGCCTCTCCGCTTCACGCCGCGCCCAATTGAAACCCAAAGATGGCAGAGCCTGACGTAGGCCGGAATCGTAACCATGGTAACGGAGGCTTTGGCGGAGGCCTGGAGAAGTATTCTTGGCAGAGAAGGGGAGCCGCCGAAGCTTCGCCATCATGGATTTGTGCCTGAACCGGGTGGATTATCTCCAGGTACAGGATACACATAAAAGAACATGGTTTTCCCGTCTTGAAGTTGCTTTGTGTTCAGGTCTCTGGAGGCAAAGATGCTGGGTGGTCAAGTTCCTCCTGTGCTGCATAGAAATGAGATCTGAAACTTCTGGGGTTTGTGTATAGATAGACCAGCCGTCCCTGCCACGCGTGGGTGTGGCCCAGTCTGTGTATATGTGCTTTGTGTGTCTATATATGCGTGTGTATATTTGTGTATATATGTGTGATTGCGTATATATATGTGGTTATGCGTATAAATATGTGAGAGGAAGTCATAGGGAGGAGGGAGCAAGCTTGTTTTCTGCTGCCCTGGAGATTAGGACTCGGAACCATGGCTTCAAACTACAAGAAAGAAGATTCCATCTGAACATTAGGAAAAACTTCCTGTGATAGCTGTTCAGCAATGGAACTCCCTGCCCCAGAGTGTGGTGGAGGCTACTTCTTTGGCAGCTTTTAAACAGGGGCTGGGTGGCCATCTGTCAGGGGTGCTTTGAATGCAATTTTTCTGCTTCTTGGCAGGGGGTTGGACTGGATGGCCCATGAGGTCTCTTCCAACTCTATGATTCTATGATCTTCTGAAAACAAATGTAATAACAGTAATAATAATAATAATAACAACAACAACAACTTTACACCCCGCCACCATCTCCCCAAGGAACTCGGAGCGGCTTATATGAGACCAAGCCCAACAATACATAAACAAAACAACAAGCTGTGTTTTTCAATGTTTTTATGAGTGATGGTCACTCGTTGGCCTGAAATGTGTATTGTGTCCAAATTTGATGCCAATTCATCCAGTAATGTTAATCCCATAAACGAACATAACGTTTTTATTGATAGACTAGCCACCCCCTGCCACGTGTTGCTGTGGCCCAGTCTGTGTATGTGTGTTTTGTGTGTGTGTATATGTGTGTATATATCTGTGTATCATAGAATCATGGAATCAAAGAGTTGGAAGAGACCTCATGGGCCATCCAGTCCAACCCCCTGCCAAGAAGCAGGAATATTGCATTCAAATCACCCCTGACAGATGGCCATCCAGCCTCTGTTTAAAAGCTTCCAAAGAAAGAGCCTCCACCACACTCTGGGGCAGAGAGTTCCACTGCTGAACAGCTCTCACAGTCAGGAAGTTCTTCCTCATGTTCAGATGGAATCTCCTCTCTTGTAGTTTGAAGCCATTGTTCCGCGTCCTAGTCTCCAGGGAAGCAGAAAACAAGCTTGCTCCATCCTCCCTGTGGCTTCCTCTCACATATTTATACATGGCTATCATATCCCCTCTCAGCCTTCTCTTCTTCAGGCTAAACATGCCCAGCTCCTTAAGCCGCTCCTCATAGGGCTTGTTCTCCAGACCTTTTATCATTTTAGTCGCTCTCCTCTGGACACATTCCAGCTTGTCAATATCTCTCTTGAATTGTGGTGCCCAGAATTGGACACAATATTCCAGGTGTGGTGTAACCAAGGCAGAATAGAGGGGTAGCATTACTTCCCTAGATCTAGACACTATGCTCCTATTGATGCAGGCCAAAATCCCATTAGCTTTTTTTGCCGCCACATCACATTGTTGGCTCATGTTTAACTTGTTGTCCACGAGGGCTCCAAGATCTTTTTCACAAGTACTGCTCTCAAGCCAGGCATCCCCCATTCTGGCTTTGCATATATATATGTGTGTGTGTGTGTGTGTGTGTGTGTGTGTGTGTGTGTGTATATATATATATAATTTATTTACAGCTTTTATATTCCGCTCTTCTCACCCCGCAGGGGACTCAGGGCGGATCACAGTGTACACAATATATGGCAAACATTCAATGCCAATTTTGACATACAACACACACAGACATAGACAGAAGCTATTTAACTTTTTCTGGCCGCCAGGGGAGCTGTCGCTTTCATCGTCCCATCTGCGACACTGATGAAGTACTTCCGCATTCCCCGCATGCTTTTTGCTGGAGTGTTTGCTGGAGTCTTTTTTATAGCCTCATAAATTAGTTAATTTAGCCTCCCCACACTTTAAGGTGGTACCTAATTTTCCTACTTGACAGATGCAACTGTCTTTCGGGTTGCAAAGGTCGACAACAGGCTACACAATTGGGTGGAAACCCACTCCAACCCGGGCTGGCTTCGAACTCATGACCTTTTGGTCAGAGTGATCTTAATGCAGCTGACACTGCACTGGGTTGTTGTAGGTTTTTTTGGGCTGTATGGCTATGCTCTAGAAGCATTCTCTCCTGAAGTAGTATAGCCTTTGGGAAAATGTTCAAATGACTGGGCCTAATGATGCCTTTGTCTATATTTTCATATAAACAAATGTTTTAATATATTTATCAATCAATGTCAATTCATTTTGAAAAGTATGACTTGGAATACTAATGACAAAGTGAAAATTTTCTCAATTAGGTTGGTGTGACTTCTCAAAAGACCATGAGATTGCTTCCTGCTTCAGGACGCAAAGCAACACAGAAGGTACAAAAGCCACTTTCTTTAAAGTGCCGCATATGCTCGAGTATAAGGCGAGTTTTTCAGCCCCCTTTTTTAGGCTGAAAAAGCTCCCCTCAGCTTATACTTGAGTCAAGGTTTTTTATTATTTTACTCTGTTATTATTATTATTATTATTACATTTATTAATGTTCTCTATTTATTATTATTATTATTACTATTACATTTTGTATATTATTTTACTCTATTATTATTATTTTATTACATTTATTATTTTACTCTATCGATATTACATTTATTATTTTACTCTATTATTATTATTATTATTATTATTATTACATTTATTAGAGATACCCAATGCAAGTAGTGTTTTTCTAAGAAAATATTTACCTGATATATGTTTTAATCCTTCAAAACAATGATGATGGAGTAGCAGCCACATAGTCAGAAAAGTTGAACTTGGTAAAAGAGGCAAAAGTCTTGGTAAAAAAGATTTAGATAGACTGCGGCCTTTTAAATTATTTCCTGAACAGTCCTATTAAATGTAGTAATAGCTTCTTACTTAATTTACTTTTAAGGTTGTAATTGGAGATCATGATGGTGTTGTTACCTGTTTTGGTATCAAAAAAGGAGAATCTGTGGTAAGTCCCTTCTTCATCAGTGGAGAGAATTCCTGTTGCTTAGTTTTTTTATATATTTCTTTAGTATTTATCAAAACATGATTTTATACTAGTTATGGCATATGATTGTTTGAGGAAATGAAAAATAATTCTATAACTGTTTTCTATTATGGATTTTTAATATTAGCAAACAATTCCGTGTAGAAGCATATTGGTGAATTCTGTGCATACATACCCCTTGTCATAACACGGAGTTGTGTATAAGACTTTCAAAAACAAGCATCTGGTTATCAGGATTCATGGCTATGCCATGTTGATCACAGATGCTATCATGATGTGCTCTGTATTGGACCCTTTTTTGAGGGTGATACAAAAACCAGTGCATTACATTACAGGAATGGATATGGACAAGAACCTTTAACTTGTAATTTAGCAATTGTAAAAGCCATCTGTGAACTTCTGAACACAATTCAAAGTAAATTATACTAAGATGCCCATTTCTGCAGTGGGATATGTTCCATACATTTAGTGCATATGTGAAACTATAGAAACGTTGAAGTGGATTTTGAAAAATGTGTCTTGCTTTAGAATCAAGGATTGGTGATGAAACTTCAGTTGAGATATCTTTTCCCCATAATAACTCTTTCAGGAGTGAGTTTCTCTTCCAAGGGCTATATTTCTCTCGCTTCCTGGTGTCTCATCCCTGTTCTTAACTATCAGCTGTTTGGAAGTTAGATGTTTGTAACTCAGGGACTGTCTAATTTCATTAAGGGACACTCATCTTTATAAATAGTAAACTGTAACATCGTATATTTAAAATATGTATTGCATTATATAATAATAATGAAAATAATACATGTATTTAAAATCATATTAGGAATTGTGATTATTTTAAACACTGTTTTCCTTTCCCCCGAATAGCCAGTATTCAAGACCTTGCCAGGGGAAAAAATTGCAAGACTCGAACTGGGAGGTGCTCTTAATACACTTCAGGAGAAAATTTTTGTGGCTGCAGGATCTGAGGTTAGAGGTTTCACAAAGAAAGGGAAACAGTTTCTTTCATTCAATACGAACCTCACTGAGAACATCAAAGCTATGTATGTATATCAGAAATCACATTGGTAGTACTTGGATGTGATACTGTGATTTTTATCTTAGTGGGTGACTCAAAGATTTGTTATAGTTTAGTTTCCTTTTAAATAATACTATGCACTTTCTTTGTCTTGAAACTTAAACATGTGTTTTTGCACATTTTTATACCGTTATTCAGTAGGATATGGATGGATAGATACACTGACTTTAATTGAAGTAGTTACAATAATAAATGTGGAAATTAGCTGAGTCATTCAAATCTAATCAGTTTAATTGCAAGTTAATGTTGAAAAAGGTAACACTTCAGCTCAGCCAAAATTAAATTAAATCATAATTAGATCAAATCAAGTCTTCTAGTTTTTCCCAGTACTCTCTCGACCTTATTTGTGTAATGCTTTAATTTGCTGTAATTGATGTTGATGTGAATTTTAAGATAGTTTGACATAAAACCGCTAATTTTAGTAAGGTCAGATATGCTATAAACTGATTATTTTGACATGAATGCTGGTGAATATGGTTGCTTACTCTAAATGACAATATAATGGTAACTAGTACAGTAAGCCTTATGAAACCTAAAAACTTTTTTTTGAAACTCAAAACATTATGAAAATGTAGAGGCATTTGGGGACATTTCCTTAATTTCTTTTCTAGGACCAGGTGCAGCCCTCCAAGTTTCCTAGGGAGCTAATATGCCTTCCTAACTTTCCAAACTTGTCCATCTTCACTATAGAAAAATGCTTCAGACAGTAATCATACAATTATTAAACGAACAAGTATAATTTCCACCATTAAAAGACATGTTGGTAATACAATTAGTTAAAATATGTCATATAGTTGGAATCAAAGAGCAGTTTAAAAAATAATTTGAAAGATTAACTTGGATGGTGCAATCTGTGGCATACACACACTTGTTGCTGGTCATCTCCAGTTAAATAGGATTTGTTGTTTACATGCAAGAGCACTGAAATTGGTAAAGCCAGTACGAGCAATTCCTATTTATCAAAGCTGTTTGGGGGGGGGGGGGGGGGAAGTAACATCCAGACTATCCCTAGAATTTTAGAATAGAGTTCCCAGAATTTTTCTATATAAAAATAATTTCAAAATCACTTGAATCATTTCAAAAGCAACAAGACCTTATTTCATGAACATGTGATTTTAATTAAAATCAAACTAATATTTACCTGCTGTTCAGATGTGCTGACAAAGTATGAAATTTATGGAATATAAATATTATGTTGAATAAAACCCTGCTAAATGTCACAGAGTAGCAATGAATGAGAAAAATATCACAAACGAATGTTACTCCATAAATATGAGGGAGTAAAACTTAATCAGTTGTGACAGCAAGTATTTAATTCATCTTGACCACATTTGTTTTTCTGATTTAATAGATTTTAAAGGTCCAAGATATGTGGATATGGAAATGCATAGAATGGTAGTCCTTGGTCTACGCATGCAGTAATCTTTGCACCTAGACCTAATACAGTACAATATAATAATATATAATAATATAATTATTATGTATTATGTATAATATATAATATTACTAATAATATTGCAGTATAGTAGTATGGTACAATATAATAATATATAATACTAATATTGTGCTATACTAATAATAAAACGTGTGTCTCGTTTGCTGTGACATAGTGTGTTTTTGTGTCTGTAAAATAATAATATTTTAATGTAATACAATATACTAATAATAATATATACTAATACTGTAATACAATAATTCTAATATATTACATATAATACTGCTGATAATATATAATAATATATAATGATAATACTGTTTTATTATTGTATATTAGAAAATTTTAAGTTGTATTGTAATATTTTTTATTGTGAGCTGCTTTGTGTCTCCGTATGGAGAGAGAAAGCAGGATATTAAATAAATAAATAAATGGTGGCTATTTAGGATTGAGAAGAAAACGATTTCTAGTGGGGACATTTGCCCCCTTAGATTTATGTAGTTTGGGCGCTACTGTATGTAAAGTTTATATACAGAGTTGGCAATTGAAAAATGTTAATATTTAGTGATCATGGTGGTAACTAATTATTCATTATAATTGCTATCATTTTAGGCATATATCTGGATCAGATCTCTTTCTTGGGGCAAGCTATATTTATAACCATTACTGTGACTGTAAGGACCAACACTACTACTTATCAGGAGATAAAATCAATGATGTTATCTGTCTTCCAGTAGAGAAACTGTCTTGCATTACACCCATATTGGCATGTCAAGACAGAGTTCTTAGAGTTCTGCAGGTAAACCTTGTTTGCTTCTTGCCATTATCATAAGGGGATGGAATTGGGGAGCGGAGCGAAGGAGGACGCATATGGGGAAGGAGATGGGATGGAGAGGTGGGAGGAGGGCAGGCAGGTGGTGTCTTGTGTCTGGGAGGTCTTCTATATAAAATCCAGATTATCTGCTTTGAACTGTCTTATATAGCAGTGAAGACTCATATAATCTAATTTAAAGCAGATAATGTGGATTATCTGCTTTGATAAATAGGTATTATATGGCAGTGTAGAAGGAGCCTGGGGCGGATGGAGGGATGTAGGGAGGGCGATGGACTTGATGGGGATTTTTAAGCCTCACCTCGCTCATGGTGGTAGTGGGTGAGAGAAACTTATGAATCCCTGTCATACTCAGACTCAGATAATCTGATACCATAAGAGCTCCTTCCCACCTCCTTTGCTGTCTTGCCACTGTATTCCACCTTCCCCAGTGGAGAAGAGAAGACTGCTACAATTTTTTTTTAAAAAATCCAGTGTTCTTCTCTTTCTTGTCTCCAAGAAGGATGGTCATACTGAAAGAGATTTTTTGCAGTAGCAGAGTCTGTAGAATGCAAGTTTGGAGATATTCACAATTTTTCCACTTTCGCGTAGATCCTGCAGCCTCCCTTTGACATTATTATCTCTTGTTTTTTGCATTAATGTGACTATGCCTGACTCCAGAGTAAGACCATGGTTCTGGGTTGAATTGCATGAATTACACTCCATTTTATCCAATACTAAAGGGAGGGACACAATTCAACTTTTAAAAGCTGTTGCTTTCATAAACAATTTTCTTTGTTTTAATGTAAAATGAGAGAAAGAAATAGTTACGCATTAGAATTAATAGCGTTTCCATTTCATTTTCCTGAGGGGTCAGATTTACTGTATGAAATGGAAGTCCCTGGTCCCCCTTCTGTTTTGGCTTTGAAGAATGGAAATGGTGGTAAGCAGAGTTTTTTGATGCATCATACTTGATTTTAATTAGAAACACAGGCCTGTTTCCTATTATATCATTGTCATAGCCAAGGTCTGCTATGTTACTGGTTGCATATTTTCAGAGTTAGCTTAAGAATGGTAGCTGATGCATTTTTTATTGTGTAAGTGGCCATACATCTTGTTGCGCAAGAGATTGTGCAGGGTGCAACTGGTTGTAAACTCACTGTGCAAAGCACATCCAGTTATTCACCCTCTCACAATACTTTTAATTTCTGTTATTAGGTGACACTGGTGAAGAGGTTTTATTTGGAACATCTGATGGTAATATTGGTCTGGTAGAAATTACTGGTATTTCCCCAGTAGAGAAGTGGAAAATTGGTAATGAGAAAAAAAGAGGTGGTAAGTGCCTTAATGTTTTATCACAGATTAAGTGATGCCACAGTTGAGGTAGCATGAAGTAAATAGACAACTCCCTTTACAATTTCAATTTAAGATATAACTTTTAAGATATAAGAAACTTATTTTATTCACTTAGAAACAATGGGATTTATCGTCCATTTGCATGTCATTTGTTTTAATATTTAGATGTACAATGTTGACTGGAAATAATATCTCTTGGCATACTTCTTAAAACAGATCTAGGACAGCTCCAGAACAGGAAAAACAACTGTCAATTTTCCTTCCAATTCCTGCAAATCTTTGGTGTATATATTGTTAGGTGAACTATGTCTCAATTAAAAATGGACAGCATCTGTTTTGGAGGAAGAGGGAACATCATGGCCCCACCTGCACTGACCATTTCATTTAATTCGAAGCTGGCTTCAAATTGCAGGAGCCAGACAACAAACTCTCACGAAAGCGCATGTAAGGCCCCTTCTACATTGCCCTATATCCCAGGATCTGATCCCAGATTATCTGCTTATCCCAGATTATCTGGCAGTGGAGATTTATATAATCCAGTATAAAGCAGATAATCTGGGATCAGATCCTGTGATGTAGAGCAGTTTAATAGTGGCCTAAGAAAGCACCCATCAGTACTCTTGGTTTGTGTAATCACTCTCTGTGCCTCTGCCTGGTTCCAGAATTTTCTATGTAATCACCCGAACAGTGAAACCACTTTCTTCAATCCTGATTTTAAACTGCATTGATTGGTTAGTGTAGATGAGGCCAAAGACAATCTGAAGGAGATCCCCCCCATTCCCCACTTTGTTATGTGTTGAATGGGAATATGTCTGTACACATGTTCATATTAAAAATGCAAAACTGCCAATAAAATGTAAAAGATGAAATTGCATTCCATTTTGAATGTTGAATCCTATGCTTTCCAGGCATTTTGTGTATGGACAGCTTTGACATTTTGGGAGATGGAGTTAAGGAATTGCTTATTGGTCGAGATGATGGAATGCTGGAAGTCTATGGCTTTGAAAATTCAAAGAGCCCTGTTCTCAGATATGAATATGTAAGTTGTTATGTTGCTTCAAGTAACATTTTATTTAAATATCCTAGTTTTTTTTTAAACCCACTATATATATTTTTCCTTCATTTTTTCCCCATCATAATTTTCAAAGCTTTTATCAGTGTTCGGAGAGAGGTTTGGCCAAGACCAAAACTTATCTTCATATACTATATGTGATGTATTGACATGTAGAAACCTTCCATCTTAGATTCTTTTATTCACACTGGCTTACAAGACAATCTAAAGATGTGACTGTCTTGAGCTGGATCCTGGTTGTCCATTTCTTTTAATTTTTGCCTTTCTTTCCATCTCTCCATTTATAGTTCTGCTTTATTATTAAGCACTTGTCTTTTGTTTTTTATCCACATACCCAAAACCATAGCACTTTTTAAAAACGATGTTTAAAGCTGTGCATCTTTTCCCTTCACAATAGTTACATCTTTTAAAAATCTTAAAATTGAAATCTGGGGGGGGGGGGGGGGATACTTGCCTCATTTTTATTTTCTCTGTTTATCTTCATCTTATTCGATGACACCTTTGCAGATAAGCTGTCACACCTGTCTCAAGGTGCGCATGTGTTGATTGGAATAGGGAGAAGGCTCTGATGATAATCGTTTGTAGCATCAACATATTCAGGTTTTTAAAAGCTAAAATTGTTTCAAAACACTTGGATATATCTATCACACATTTAAGAGGGGAAATAATTCAGAATAATGGAGTGAAACTTCATTATATAACTTTATAAAAGCATGTGTCTTATCACTTTAACACTCTGATTCTGAGTTGCTGGATGCCACTCTGTGGATTTCTTGGTAGGATGAAAATTTGAACCTGGAGGGCCTCTTGGACAGGGGAAGACCACATGGCCCCCTAAATATTTTAGCCTGTTGGAATTATTTTGTTATTGTTTAAAATCTGCAATTCTTTTAAACTGATTTTATTATTCTGCTTGTATACACCTTGATACTGTTTTACATGTATGTCAGTACTGTTTTACTTGTGGTTCAGGATGATATTAATATTTTAAGAAACCAATCAGTGTTTTTCTCCAGTTCAAATTTCCTAAAGCTATTAGCTTGTGCTAGAGATGGTGGGCTCTGAAGTGCAGCAAGCAGAACAATCTTTTTATGGATCTGAATAAGGCTTTGAGTCCTGTGCTTGACCAGTCCATGGTAACTCAGTAGATTAGGTAGCAGCCTTAGACCTAAGATTTCTAGTTGGAACTCTTTATCAGTTGCTATCTTTTTTGAGAAGATCCAGTTAAATAATCATTTATATGTCTTTCATGATTACATATATTTTTTCAGGATGGGTGACAGGATTAACTACAGAGCCTATCCACCGAGAGTGTGGATCAGGGGATGGATTAAAGCTGTCTCATGACATGCAGAACAAGGTTTTATCCTTAAGGTAATATAAATATTAAAATATATACAATAAAAACTTTTTCAGTCTTTGCACACATTCAAGCTTGCTATTTATGTAATTATCCTTGGTAATTTCACTTACATGCCCAACAGAAACTTAATAGTGATTCATTAACAGCACCAACATTTTGTTGAGTGAATGGGCTTGTTAACAAAAGACCCTCCTCATAAATGTTCAGCAGAGTAACTTATTAGCAGCCACGTGGCCCGGCACCAGTAGCCCAAAGTGATAAAAAGAAAAAAACCCACATAGACCAATGTTATCTCTTCCATAGGAGGCTTTTCTTTGTCATTGCACTATTTACAAAAACAAGTTTTTCATAACACAAATAATGTTCTTTATACTTTTTTATTTGCTTCCATGCTGGGCTTGTTTCTCATACATCTTGTCTCCTGGACATATCATCAGCTGGAGACCCCTCTCCCCAGCACCTGCTGCCGCTCTGGGCCAGAGTGAAGAGAGAGGGAGCCAGGGAACAGTTCCACCTTGTCTCCTGTGCTATTCTAATAATATAATATAATATAATATAATATAATATAATATAATATAATATAATATAATATATGTATACATATAATATTTATAATATTATAATGTAATGCAATATAATAATAATAATATGATATTATAATTATATATTTACATTACATGTAATATTACTAATAATATTACGATATAGTGGTATGGTGCAATATAGCAATGTTTAATGCTGATATTGTAATATGCTAATCATATAATATATTGTATGTAATATATACCTTGTAAGCCACTCTGAGTCCCCTTCGGGGTGAGAAGGGCGACATATAAATGTTGTAAATAAATAAATAGTAATACACTGAGGCCCTTCTCCCACAGAGACCTCACACAGATTGAGGCGAACTAAGCTACAGTCACACCTGTTTATATTGAACTGTAGCTTTTGCTGAGTCATTGTATCCATTTAACCCTTTCAGTGCTTGACTCACATTTTTGGAATTAAAAATACCTAGTTAGTTTTTAATATTTCTGATATGTTTCAGTTATAAATTTCTTCGCACCATCTGTTTTCAGTAAACATCTCTAAAATTTTACTCTTTTTAAAGTCACACAAGATATTATACCTGTTTGGTAACCTACAACAACCAAATGAAAGTTATATGCTTTGTAAATAATGGTTTATTGTAATTCTGAAAGAGCTGAGGTTGAGCACTCCTCCAGTCACCCCCTCCCTTTATAACCTAGTTTTGGATTATGGTTTCATGTTACCAAAACCTTCAAACTATAGCTTAATGTTAATTTAATAAACCAAATAACCGAGGATTTGATCCGTGTTAACTTGTATGGTTTGCTAACTGACTTTAGGCCAAAGATCCCTGTTTTGAATGTAATAGGGAACATTGACAGTACTGTTCAGGGCCTTTGTGCTGAAGCATGAAAGGAGCAGTGAGGAGACACTTGACCCTAAAACTTGTTTGTGGCTTTATTTAACCTATAAATAAGAGCATTCTTGTGAGAATTAGAGTTTTAACATATGTAAAATAATTTCTGTGTCCTTGAAAAAAGAAAACAGAAAAAGCATTTTTTTTCAAAAACACAAAATGGTACTCTAGCAGAACTTAAGTTTGCTCAAAATTCTGTCTTTTGCAAAAGGAATGAATTGGAACAACTACAGATCAAGGTGCTTCAAGAGCGTGAAAAATACCAACAGTCCTCACTATCCAGCACTGCAGTTTCAACCGTGCCAACATTTAGTATAAATGACAAATTTACATTGAATAGGGATGATGCCAGCTACAGCCTTGTTTTAGAGGTCCAGGCAGCAATTGATATTGTCTTGCTACAGGTAAGAGATGGTTTAAACTGCATTTTGGACTTGGGCACTTAAATATGTTTGTTTTTTTAGAGATGTTATTTTTTTTTTCAAAATCTGTGATGTTATTTTTACCTTAAAGTTCCTTAAATGTAAAAAGTATCTGTGTCGTAGACTATCATACTATCTGAGAACTGACGTGGACACTGGAGCCACAAGGATACACCTATGATACAGAGGATAACAGAATGGAAGAGAAAGGAAAGCCCAGAAGCAGATCTAAATCAAATTTTAAAATGGAAAATAGAGAAAGAGAAAGGGAATTAAATAGCAACGAGAAAGATATCAAAAATTGGATAAACACAATTAAAAAAATTAAATCGCTTAGGATTAAAGAAACACAACGGAAAATGTTGACAAACGGGTATCGACCCCACAACAACTATCATTTAATACAAAAAAATACATTAAAACTATGGTGGCATAAAGTTGGGGAAATATGAACCTTTACACATGTGTGATGAGACTGTGATAAAGCACAAAACTTATATAAAAAAATAAAAAGTGAGATGGAGGAAATATTAGGTATAAAATTAGAGATAAATAAAAAAGTTTTAAAACATGAAATAGAAGAAAAAGGTGAGAATAAAGAATGGGCCAATATTACAAAATATATGATAGAAGCTGCACAAGGAACTGAGGCTAGGGGTTGGAAAGACCAGACAAAATGGGAAATACAAAAGTGGTATGAGCACTTAGCAGACTATATGGTGTAGGATTATATTATGGAAAGGAGAATTAAATTTCTGATCAGATATCTTTGTTGCACCTCAGGCCTGGAAACACCTATGACCGCAGCACCACACAAGAGCCCAGAATATAAGCAAACGGTTTATTGTAAAAACACAAAATATATGAAAAAGCAAGAAGGTAGATATATGATCCAAAAAAGGGTTAGCAATAGGTGATAACCAAACAGGAATCCAAATGTCTCATGCAGATTCCAAGGCAACACAGTCCAAGAATAACCAAAAACAATCACAAGTACAGCATAAGTCCACAAACAAAAAGTATACTAAGTAAAATTTGAGAAGGAATATCAAGACAAGAACATATCAAACTTCCAGGATACTTAAATCCAAAACCGAGGCTTGACTTGAAACAAGAACCAGAGAACTCAGGCCTAGCTTCTCATTGAAATGCTACGTTGCCTGAAACCTTAGATAAACAACTTGCTAATTCATAGGCACCCATTAAGTCATTTCTTTTCTCATGAATTTTCTTCACAAGTTTCCCACATAATCACTCTGACCTGAGCTGTCTAATTTATGCTCTAATCTATAAACAAAGACTTTTGTTGATCTCCATAGATTCAGGCGGTTTTCCCTGGGTGCTTTCCATATCACTTAGTTCTTCTCTCGACTCCTTATCTCATGTTGCAGTTTCTGGCTCCTCTGACTGACCTTGAAGCCTGCACTTTCTGAGTCAGAAAGAAGCCTCATTTCCCTGACTTGAATCTTCATCATTTTGTGCCCCAGGAAATCCCACAATCCCCTCTAAATCATCAGTGAACCCATCAGCCTCAGGCTGTACCACAGCAATCCTAAGGGGAATTGGGACTCTAAATGGAAAGAGCTGATAGCCAGAGTAAAAGGGAAAGCGAAATTTAAGGAATGGAATCAGATTATCTTCATGATTGAACAAATAAAATAGTATTTTTAAAAAGAAAGGTACAACTGTTCTTGGGAGTGAGAGAGGTGAGAAGGAGGTGGAAAACAGATAGATACAAGTAGCAGGCAATTATAGCAATGGAAAGGCTAAGATTATAGGACAGATTTGAATGGTATGACTAAATATGTGAAATAATTTGGTCTTTTCCTTTCCCTTCCGTAATGTAAATACTAGGCCTGGGTAACAACGGAAAAATTTGTTTCTAAAATCGATTTATTTTTTGGGGGGTTTTGCGTTTCGATATTTAAAAGAATTCCGAAATTTTTCTTTTAAAAAGTTTGATATTTACGAAATTTCGTAAATGGTAAAAAAAATTACGAAACATTAACGAAACATTAACGAAACAATAACGAATCGATTCGTTAATGGCGGACGCGACCGCGCAATACGCTAAAAAACCTCCAAATGGGACAGGGGGAACTTCTGAAGCTTCCCTCTCCCTCTGTTGTTGACTGTTGGTGTGATATTATAATTTTTTTTTCACTAATTAAACAAAAAACAACTATAAAACTTGCCCCAGACATGTGGAAATAATAACGAAACGACCTCAAACCAATAACGAAACAAATACATAACGAATCCGAAGCATTTACGAAACGAATTTAAAAATTCGTTTCGTTTTTTAAGCTGCTCCAGAATGGTTCGTTATCGCTTCATTATAAAAAAAAAAAATAACGAATTTTTAACGAATTACGAATTAACGAAACAAAACCGCCCAGCCCTAGTAAATACATAATGTTATGCTCTATATAATCGAATTTAAAAACCCTAAAATGAGGATTCACCTGAAGTAGAGTGAAATTTAGGGATACCAACATCTCATTGAAACTCCCTGTGATCTCTGGGAAGTTTTGGCCAGGGGCAGCATGTTTAAATCTCTCCTTCCCTGTATATTGACTGTGAGAAAGAGGTAGGCAGTACTGTTGTTTATGAAATTCCTAGCGCTAATACTAGATCATAGCCTTTAGGGCCAAAATGTTCACTCACCTTTAATCTAATAGATATGAATGAAAACATAGGAAAACAAGGAATACAGAAAGCATCTTTGAACAGACATTTTTAAAAAATCAACAGTGTTTTAATATCTGGTTTTTTTAATAAAAGGTTTCTAGAGCAATGTCATCGACCTAAAGAGATAGGATGTCTTTGAAATTATAAATTCACTTTGAAATTGTTTGTTTTCACAGTGTGACGTTCCAATAGACCTAAAGGATGTAGATAAAAATTCAGCTGTGGTTAGTGTTGTTGACTGTGAATCAGAGGTACGTAAAATCCTAGAGCCTGTCTTGATAGTTCCAGACACTATGTTGAAGATATATTTTATTCTCTGGAGTATATTATGTTAAGGTTTTATTTGATACTTTTATAAACCAGTTTATTGTAAAACTGTGTTGATTTCAGAATTGGTCTTGAATAAGAATGTTACCTGAAGTTGAGCAGGTTATAAGTTCTGTACGCCAATGGTATCCACTCTGAGGACCCTTAGAAGATTTGTATTTTAAAAAACCTTTTTAGAATGTGTTGGAAGTGTTTGTGTGTGTTGAACTGCCCTGAGAAAAATTATCTTTTGGAGTACAAGATGGAAATAGTAACATTGTATTTTGTGACATGTGTGATATAAACATTCATATAATTACTATAAATGTAGTGTTTAACTTTGGGATGTGCACATATTTTAGAAAGTTCTTTATAAATATCTACTATTTACAAGAACCGGGTTTCTATAACACAAATGAAGTTCTTTATACTTCCTTCGTTGCTTCCATGCTGGGCTTCTTTCTTATGCAGATAAACAGTGTCGCTGTCACAGAGCCTCCTCTCACACTGAAATTACACAGGAGCTCTACATAGTAGCTTTACACACAGCTTTACACATGACATCTTCAACCTGGAGCTTCTCTCACCAAAGCTTCTCACACCAGGTCTTCTCACTGATGCATTCTCACAGACTAAGGCTTACCTCACACAGAGGCTTCTCTCACAGACTAAGGCCTACCTGACACTGAAGTCTCCTCTCAGACTAAGGCCTACCTCAGACTGTGAGGCCTTCTCACAGACTGAGACCTTTCTTCCACTGAGGCAAACTAACACAGAGGCCTACTAAGCTACAGGCACACCTGCTTATATAGAACTGCAGCTTTTGTGGAGTCATTTCATCCATTTAACCCTTTCAGTGCTTGACTCACTTTGGTGTAAGGGTCCACATCTCCAATTCTTTACATTATTTTAGCCAGACAGTTGTGGCTGCTCTGCTTCCTATACAAACATATTTACACTTTAAGTGTAAGGCACCTATCACTTTTCTTCTCCTTATCCCATAGGATAGGATTGAAATGTAACTCCCACCAATCTATCCCTCCCACCACTAACTCCTCCCCATGGCTCCATAGCACCGCCACCTTAGAGTGCTGATTACATACCAAAAAAAACCGGATTTCCCAGGAAACTTGTTTTACATCAGATTATGCTCTCAGGCATCAAAAAGAAATGCTCTTCATGTGAATTATCAAAAATGTTGTGTCCAAATTACATCAGTCACAAGATGAGCGCGATTCTTTTATCAGTGTAGACAATCCCTAATTCATAAAAGCTTTATAGCCCAAATATTGGTTAATATAAGACTAATTTATTTGGAGACAGATAGACTTGACTTGCATTCAGCTCACCTAGCAGAAGTCTCATATCACCATGTTCTCCAAAAGCAATCCAAAAATGATACATAGAGATTTGTGTGTGGTGTCTCCCCAAATGAGGCAGAAACACTCTGTTGGTCATTCTTGGGATGTGTCACCTACTATGCCCCTAAATCCCATCCTATTAAGCAGAGTGCTTCAACCTCTATTTTTAAAGGGCTTATTAATGTTTCTGGGGCAGAAGGCGAGCCAAGAAGCCATAATATGTGATTCATTGTTGTTTCTGATTAATGGATATGATCTAGATCCATATGATTATAAACAAAGTCAAACCTAAATGAAGAATTCTGTTTTTGGAGCTTACTGATTCTAATTTTCCCTCTTCCGCAGCCCAATGGTAACTTCCTTCTTGCCACTTACCGCTGTCAAGCAAATACTACAAGGCTTGAACTTAAGGTAAAATATAGTGTAATTTAAACATGTTAATTAAGACTATAGCATTTAAATAACAGTTCAGGGAATAGTCGAATTTAAGAACTAATTCAAAAAGCAACAATAACAATAAAAATCATGAGAAGCAAGCCTTTTAAGAAGAAATGAAACATCATATTCTACTATCTTTAGAAGAGGAGATAAAATCATACTTTAGAAGTTTTATGTTTGAAAATTGGTCAAAATTTGAAGAAAATTCACCTTTCTTTTCTGTGAACAGATTCTATCAATTGAAGGCCGGTATGGGACACTGCAAGCATATGTGACTCCAAGAGTTCAACCAAAAACCTGTCAAGTCCGACAATATCAAATTAAGCCACTTTCACTTCATCAAAGGACACACTGTATTGATCGTGACAGGTAGTTTTGAGAGCAAATGTTCCATTGTAGTTCAAATTTAAGGTTTGTGTTTTGAACTTTATGGAAGGTCAGTTTTGAGGAAAACCTGGCTTAGCTAGAACTTCACTATAAATGCTGTAAGCAAGTTATCTTCATCAGATGTTTCAGTGGAACCATGATATGGAAATTTTTTGTAGATGTGGCTGGAAATCGTGTTTGTGTAGTTTGTGATCTACTTTTTTAGAAAGACATCTCCGTCCAAAATTCTTTAAAAAGTGCAAGAAAAATAAAAATAGAAAATGATGGTTGCTGCATTAGTTTTCTTGCAGGTTTCTTACATTTCACCCATTCCTATTATTTTGTTTAAAAACGTTCACAAGTAAATGTAGTTTTGCTGCTTCATTATAGTATGTATAGGGACATAGGTTTTAAAAAGTAGTTTCAAACCTTTTCTAAAATAAAAAAGGTTTTATCCTGGTATTGGTTCTATCCAAATGTGTAGGTTGAAAATAAGCAAGACAGTAACCATACATATATCGTGTTATGGTCTTTACATCACTGAGATAAACCTTTAGATGTGATCCACAATTCCTATTTTGCTTAATGGAGAAGCAGACATTCATTAAAAACTATTTGGAGATTTTTTGGGCTATATTTGAATGTTGTATGGGAAGAAAAGTGGGATACTAGATAGATAGGGCAGGACAAAATGTTGTCTAATGCCTAGCAGTTCTGAACTGTTTATCATGCTTTCAACTAATAAATAGTTATATATATTTTAGATATGTGATTTATTTTTAAATATGTGAGGCATTGGATTTGCCATTACTATGTTGTGAACCGCTTTGAGTCCCCCCAGGGGTGAGAAAAGCAGTATATAAGTACAATAATAAATAAATAAATAAATAATAAATATTGTGGGAATAAGATTGCTACTTGGTCATAACAAATACAGTTTCTTGTTTTTGTTGTTGCTGTTCAGACCCATGAATACTCTGACCCTCAAAGGCCAGTTCAGCTTTGCAGAAGTTCACTCTTGGGTCGTGTTTTGCTTGCCTGAAGTTCCTGAAAAAACACCTGTGGGGGAGAGTGTCAGCTTCTACTTTCAGAACACCTTTTTGGATACACAACTTGAATGTACCTACCGGTAAAATGAAGTGCAGCTGTTGAAGTGCACTGTTTTGTTTGAAAAGTAGCAAATAACACACTGAGATTATACATGTCAGTTAAGCACAGAAAAGATAAACAATACTCCTAGAAATAATTTGAAAAGTTTATTATTTTATGGTTTAGAAATTAGGTTGAGAATTCCTTATTTAAAATGTTAGAAACAGACATATTTTAGATTTTTAAATTTTTTTGGAATAGAAATATATTAGATATTTTGGAAATGGAGCCTGACTAAATATGAAATTCATTTATATTTCATGTACACCTTATACACATAGCTTAATGATATTTTATAAAATATTATTAATGTTTCTCTGCACAAAACGAAGCTTGTGTATATTAAACTATCAGAAAGGAAAGGTATCACTATCTCAGCCATCCATGTAGTTAATTTTTTATAATGGATGATTGACCAGAGGTATTTTAACATTTACCCTTCTCAGCCTGGCAAGGTATTTTGTGTATGAAATATGCTTGCACACTGTTTAGGTTACTGAAGTCAACAATGGAATCTTGTAGGAGTAAGAGTAATCCAGATTATTGTTTTAATCCTTAATACAGGAAAGGGGAAGGATATTTCAAATCTGACAATATATCCACAATATCTATTCTAAAAGATGTGCTGTCTAAAGAAGCTACTAAAAGGAAAATTAATCTTAATATATCATGTGGTAAGGATTTTAGTTTTCTTATCTTGGGAAACTAAACTTATTTATACAAATATATTCAGGTGATTTAATTTATTTTTGTGATTGTCTTCTAGATATAAATGAGGTATCTGTGAATCACACTTTAAAGTTAATCCATCCAAAATTAGAATATCAGCTGATGCTGGCTAAAAAAGTGGAACTAATAGATGCTTTAAAAGTAAGTATTTGGCATGGTGTGTGTATGTGGGGGTGTGTGTGTGTGTATGTATGTGTGTGTGTGTGTGTGTGTGTGTGTGTATATATATATATATATAGTGGAAAGACTGCTGTAATAATTTTGCTTGTTTCATTTCTGTTCTGCTTTTTTGGTGATTTGGTTCCTCTCCAATGTTTGAGAGCTGTTTTGCTATTTCAAAACAATGGATATGTAGCTGGAAAATGGAGCCTTAGTAGCGCAGCAGGTTAAACCACTGAGCTGCTGAACTTGCTGACTGAAAAGTTGGTAGTTTGAATATGGGGAGTGGGGTGAGCTCCTGCTGTTAGGCCCAGCTTCTGCCTAGCAGTTTGAAAACATGCAAATGTGAATAGATCAACAGATACCGCTTTGGCAGGAAGGTAACAATGCTCCATGCAGTCATGCCGGCCACATGACCTAGGAGGCATCTACGGACAATGCTGGAAAATATGCAAGATTATGTTAGAAATCATTATATCCCTGTTATAAATGCAGCTAGGGCTTATAAGGGAGAATCTATAATTAAATGGATTACATGATGTAGATGCACAAGGTCCCAGGAACACTCATTAGCATCTCCAATTAAATTTCACACAGGGAAAGATTTTGCCACAAACTGTTGGAATACACTGCTTGTCTGGATAGATCATATTTAGTGCACTAAGTACTGTAAATGGACTGAATTAGTATATAATGTGTTCTGTAAATCGTAGCCAACATAACTACAGTCATGGATGGAGGCAAAAGTACTCTGTAATACTGTTTGTTTTGCTGCAAGCCTTCCACAGATTTAATTTCAGACAAAGCAACAGATGTGGTTGGATTGCAGCTCCCATCTGTCATATCCAGAACAGCCAATGGTGAGAGTAGCACTCCAGTAACATTTGAAGAACTTTACTTTTCCCATTCTGATCTAATCTAGAAAATAAAGTTAGAAGTACATTAAAAGTGTCTGCGTTGAAACAAATATATATGAATGTTTAAAAAATCAAACATGATTTCCCTAGAGCATTAGGAGTGGAGTTTTGTGGGAAAGAAACTGTCATTTTGGCTCTGGTATGCCCCAGAGCCAACTTGTTTCTTGATTCATAGCACATGCTTGTTTGCCCGAATCTCTATTTTGTACCTGCTCATCCGAAATTACTGCACTAAAACAAAAGGGTGGATTTGTGAACACTTTTCTTTTTTTCTTTTTTAAAATTAAAAGGCAGTGAAAATCTTGTCTTCTTTCTGCTTCCTATAAATCCATACATGTTTAAACATGACTTCCTTTTAATATCTTATATTATTATTATTATTATTATTACTATTATTCATTTAAGGAGTTACAAGCTCATGAAGGAAATACAGACTTCCTGATTCCAGAATACCGCAGCATTTTGGAAGAAGCTGAGCAGCTAACCCAAGAGCACAAGAAACAACCTACATCACTTGAAAGACTTTATGGTTAGTTCATTAGCACTGTTCTAATTTTCTCTAGCTGTTCTTGCTTTTTTGAAGTAGTGATGCCCTGTCATTATAGAAATGTGTCAGTGTCTATTTCAGTGTCCTTTTGTTTGCCCTTGTAGGGAGTGATTCCAGTTTCTAGGGCAGTACTTCAGAATATGAAATATCTCTGAAGTGTATGTGATGTCTCTCAAACTGCAGTAGCACTGTCCTTCATTTCAAACAAAAATCAGGATTGTGTATGTTGTTATGCACATACAGTTTGAGTTCATCAATGCAGAAGTCTAGCTTTACCAGTGGAGTGGAAGACACTATGTAATTCCATAGTAGAGATGTGACCCTACAGGACTGTGTGACTTTAATTATTGGTTTTACTGTTTAGATGTTTTTAACTTTTTGGTTTTAATGCATATGTATTTTATTTGTATGTCTGTTTATGCGGCATTGAATTGTTGCCTACTTGTAAGCCGCTCTGAGTCCCCTTTGGGTGAGAAAGGCAGGGTATAAATATAGTAAATAATAAATAAATAAATAATACAGTAGAGTGGGAAGCAGTAGGTGTTGTGCTGCAGTGCCAGGTTGGTAGCACAAAGGATGGTTTTGCATCAGGGAATTGCTTGTATAAGATGGTCTCTGACGTTTTCTTACGCAAGTCCATACATCAGCAGCTGTGCTAGTGCATTGTTTCAATAGGATTCCACCTTTAGCATCCAAGCTGTGTATTAGAACTGATGATGAATTACAGCTGTTGTGGGGGACTCTGCATTTACTCAAGAACAAAAACTATGTATCTGGTACTAATTGAAACTAAAATAATAGTGTGAATGTTGATCCATGCTAATGCAAGGCATCATTGCTGAACATATGCTGCAGAATATTTTCCACTGAAATGTATGACAAACTTGCCGTTGAGTTAAATGGTTAGAAAAGATGCTGAGTCTTACTAGACATTTTGCTACATGCTGCATGTGATGCATAATGATTCCTGTGATAGCTCTTCAATGTAAAATACTTGACTTTTCACCCTTAATTTTGTATATGAATTATTTCTCTTCTTTTAGTTTTTTTTTTAAATCAGTCTTTTGAAAATAACACTAATTTCCTTTTTTTATTTTCAGGTATGATTACAGATCTATTCATAGATAAATTTAAATTTAAAGGCACTAATGTGAAAACCAAAGTCCCTCTTCTGCTGGAAATTTTGGGAAGCTATGATCAAAACACATTGCTTGCCTTTTTTGATAGTGCTTCATGAGCTGGAAGTATAGAAAGCAATATGAAATCTCTAAAATGAATGTAGAGGATGCAGATCAGCAAATCCAGATCTTTGTTTACATCATTTTAAATATAATAATAATTGTTAGTGAATAAAACTTACATTTATTATGTATATATATATATTAAAAATGGTATTTACCAAGAACATTCCATACATAATATATGTGAAATGTGACTTAATAACAATTGGTAGGACTGGCATATATACTCTAAATACATTTTACACAACCTTAATTTTAAAAGGACATGTAAAATGTTTTCAGTTCACTAGCTTTTAAAGAGTCTGATTGTGGATTCTGATTGAGCCTAGTAAAAATTAAGGGTTTTGAATCTGTAACTACATGCATTTTGTGCAAAAGACAAAGACCCATTCTAAACTGTTATATAAAATCCAGGGTATCAAAGCAAATAATCCACATTATCTGCTTTGAACTGGATTATATGAGTTTACACTGCCATATAATCCAGTTCAAAGTAGGTAATCAGGGTATTATTATTATTTATTAATATCACACACAACAAACATTTACAGAAAACATACAGTAAACCAGTTAAACAATTAATCAAATATTTTATACATGTAATCTCTACAAGCACCCACATGCATGGGACATATATTCATCCTTAATATTAATGATTCGTATATTGACCTCTTCTCCAAAATGCTAGTGTATGTTGATTTAGTTTTATTCCTTTTTCTTTGACAAATATACATTCATATCTATAAATATATATTATCTGGGTTTTTTATGGCGGTGTAGAAGGGGCCTCATATGATCCAGTTCAAAGCAAATAATGTGGATTATCTGATATGATAATCTGGATAATCTGGCAGTGTAGAAGGGACCAAAGTAGTATTTTGCTTGCCAGCTACAAAGAAAATTCTGAGATTGGTGTAACAGATTGCATGTATCATTCTTCCCAGTATAGATTAGGTTGGAAATGCAGTTCTGATAATCACACATTCCATATCAACACTATTAGGCCCCTTCTACACTGCCATAAAATCCAGATTATCAAAACAGATAATCCACATTATCTGCTTGAACTGGATTATATGAGTCTACACTGCCATATAATCCAGTTCAAAACAGATAATCTGGATTTTATTTGACAGTATAGATGAGGCCTTTGTTCTTGCCATTTATGCACTGGCATGGCAACAGTGCCCTGCATTAGCCAGTCACTAAAGAAAATTGCTCTTGATAATGTAATTCCCAGTCTGTATATAGAACTTTGTCGGCTATAGACTATTACATGTGTAAATAGGAGAAAAATTATTTATTGGAAATATAACTGATTCTGTGCTAGGTCGGAATCAATTTGATAAATAAATTTTTTCAACTATAGCATGAACTTTTGTGGCCTTTTGTGTGTGATGAATATCAGATTTTTATGCCTTTGAAGTGAAAGCAAGATGGAAGATACAAGGTCCATCAGAGCTCAAAGTATAGCAAGGAGACAGGAAGAGGACCGTACCTTTGTTGCATGAAGACATATAAAGCTCTATCTACACTGCAGCATTTATGCAGTTTGACAGCACTTTACCTGCCATGGCTCAATGTTTTTTTCTTTATGTAAATAAAGCTTTTAATTTCTGTTGGTAGTATTGAAATCAGTGTTCCTCTTACAACTGATGGTGTCTTAAAATAGAAGAAATGTGATACGTATGACCATATATATGTGTGTAATAAATAAAATATCATAAAGAAAACATAATAAATAAATACAGGATGGGCCCAAAAGTCACCAAATTTAAGAAGTTTATTTTTTGTTCTTAATTTACAATTAGTAATTTTATTGTATTGACTTAATATTTTTAATTATATATAATTATTGGTTTTGTTATGTATTTTATTATGTGTACATAGAGGCATCAAATTGTTGCTGGCTGGAAGCCGCCCTGAGTCCCCCCTCAAGGGGTTGAAAAGGGCGGGGTACAAATATTCTAAATACATACATACATACACACACACAAATATGTATATAGACAAGCACACACACATACACAATATGCATGTACACATAAACACACACACATATATATGCACACACTCATATACATACACACACACACACATATATATATACATATATTTATTTATTTACTTTGATTATATACCGCTGTATCTCAAGCCCGAAGGCGACTCACAGCGGTTCACAAACAGTAAAAACAGTAGAAACAGCAGTGGTTCCATACAACATATAACAATTGACTTAACACATTATCCATAAATTACCAATAAGCAATTACAATGCACAATTATTACAAAAAACAACCGTACCCAATCTTCTCATCATCCAAGCGTTGTCCAGGTTCGTTGTTCCATTCCTATGTTCCATTACCAGATTGCACTAAATTACTCAATCGCCTGCACAAACATCTTTATGATATTTTATTTATTACACACATATATATACAAACAAACATATATACACAAATACACACACACATATATATGTAAAGGTAAAGGTTGTCCCCTGACATTAAGTCCAGTCGTGTCCGACTGGAGTGTGGTGCTCATCTCCATTTCTAAGTCGAAGAGCCAGCGTTGTCTGTAGATACCTCCAAGGTCATGTGGCCAGCATGACTGCATGGAGCGCCCTTATATACACAGACAAAACACATATACACAGACTGGGCCACAGCAAAGCAGGGGACGGCTAGTATATAATAAATGTAATGTCATGATAAATAAAATGATATAATATAGTAGCTTATAAAAATAATAGTAATATTATATAGCCAGGGTAACTACATAAACAAAAAAGAGAAATAATTCACAGCAAGTATTCTAGTGTGAGGAATCAATAAGGAACCTCCCTGGAGGTTTCCTGTCTTTCCGAGGAAGGTAATGACAGAAACCCCGCTCGCCACCTGTCTTCAGCATAAGTGACTGCTTATTTATAGCCACGTGACCGCCCCCTTCCCCGCCAGCCAATCCCCTCCTCCCGCGAATTCCTTTCAAACCGACTTCTCGACCCTCGCGGGCTCCCGTAAGCAGTGACGTCAGGGCGTTCTCCCTCCCCATTGGCCGATTCAATCCTCGCGGGCTACTTGAACGGTGAAAGCGCAAGAGCCACGGACGCGGAGCCTTTCCATTGAGCTTGTGCCGCCGCCGGAGCAGGAGCCTCCTCTCTATCCCATCATATCATGCTGACGGACGCCACCGCCGCTGCTGCCGCGGAGCTGGAGAACCAGGAGAACATTCCCCCGGCGGTGAAGGATGGTGGCGCCTCGGCCAAGCTCCCGGGAGGGCAAGGGCAGCGGCTGGCGTTGGGGCTGCTGCAGGCGAACCAGCGCTGCTCCTCGGACCCGGTCCAGGTAGAGGCGCCTAGGGAAGGAAGGGGAGCAGGGACGCTTGGGCCTGCTCGGCCGCCATTTTGGGCTCGTGCAGGATGCTCCCAGAGCCATAGGAGTTGTAGTTCCGCCTCCTCTGGCCAAGAGGGCCTGTTGAGGCCTGGTGCCCAGTTCAGGCCTTTTTTGGCCTTTGGGACCCCTTCAGGTACAGCTAAACCAGGCCTGGGCAAACTTGGGCCCTCCAGGTGCTTTGGACTTCAACTCCCAGCATTCCTAACAGCCTCAGGCCCCTTCCTTTTCCCCCTCAGCCGCTTACGGCTGAGGGGGAAAAGGAAGGGGCCTGAGGCTGTTAGGAATGCTGGGAGTTGAAGTCCAAAGCACCTGGAGGGCCCAAATTTCCCCAAGCCTAGTCAACACTAGAATTAATGCAGTTTGGTATCGCTTCAACTGTTCATAGCAGAAGACTACTAAAGACCTTGGCGGAACTACACCTCCCCTGATCCCATGCATTCCTTCCTTTGGCGGGATGTATAGGGACAGCTTGGCGCCCTTTCCACGCCTCAGCGGCCTGGCTCCCCTACAAAAGGGGAAATCTGCATTTCAGATCAGGTCTCTTCTCCCCACTGCCGACCCCATTCCTTGCTCAAGGTCTGTAGTCTTCCTTCCTCCCCCTGTTGAACCTTCACAACCACCTGGTCTCAGCTAAATAGTCTCAGCTGAGCCTCCACGCTGCATTATATAGCAGTGTCCATCCAGCCTCGCTACCTGTGGGTCCCCAGGTGTTTTGGCCTACAATTCCCAGAAAACCCAGGCAATTTACCAGCTGTTGGGATTTTTGGGAGTTGAAAGCCAAAACATCTGGGGACCCACAGGTTGAGAACCACTAGTCTAGGACTATGTGACATATCAGCAAATAATGCATGGGATTTCTGAGTAGGGTGGACTTCTGCAGCTGATGGATGGTAATTTTGGCAGCACTGATTGTTTTTAAGTGTAGGCCAAGGTCTTTAGGCACTGCACCCAATGTGCTGATCCCCACTGGGACCTCCTTGACTGGTTTGTGCCAGAGTCTTTGCAGTTCAATCTTTAAATCGCACTGATAGATGGTAACTTTGGCAGCGCTGATTGTTTTTAAGTGTAGGCCAAGGTCTTTAGGCACTGCACCCAGTGTGCTGATCACCACTGGGACCTCCTTGGCTGGCTTGTGTCAGAGTCTTTGCAGTTCAATCTTTAAATCGCTTTTCCAGTTGCTTCTAATAATAATGATGATGATGATGATGTTTTTTTTATTATTATTAGTCTATATAAATAAAAATGTAATGTTCATTTCTAGGATTAACATGACTCAAAAACCACTGGACGAATTGACACGAAATTTGGACACAATACACCTAACAGTCCAATGAGTGGCCATTACCCCTAAACACACACGCAAAAAACGCCAGCGGAACAGACTTTAAAACCCCAAAAATACACCATATATACACACACTCATATACATGCACAGATTCATACACACGTGTGTGTGTGTGTGTGTTATGCACAAATATACATATACACATGCACACAAATATACATATATACGCACTTGGTGCCTAAATGGTCTCAACTCAGCTGAGCTTCCACACTGCATTATATAGTAGTGTCCATTCAGCCTCGCTACCTGTGAGTCCCCAGGTGTTTTGGCCTACAATTCCCAGAAAACCCAGGCAATTTACCAGCTGTTAAGATTTTTGGGAGTTGAAGGCCAAAACATTTGGAGACCCACAGGTTGAGAACCACTGGGTTGGTTGAATACTTTAGGTCAGCGTTCCTCAACCTAGGGGTTGCCAAAGACCATCGGAAAACACAGTATTTTCTGTTGGTCGTGGAGGTGCCGTGTCGGAAGTTTGACCCAATTCTATCATCGGTGAGGTTCAGAATCCTAACAGTAGCAAAATTACAGTTATGAAGTAGGAACAAAAATAATGTTATGGTTGGGGGTCACTAGAACATGAGGAACTGCATTAAGGGGTCGCGGAATTGGGGAGGTTGAGAAACACTGCTTTAGATTTTCCTTCTGCTCTTGGATATCCAGCTGGAGTTGGAAGAGACCCCCCCCCCCCCCCCCCAGTCCAACCGCATTGCAGGAAAATACAACAAAACCGAAGCCCTCCAAACAGATGGCCATCCAGCTCCCCCTCTGCAAAAGGAGACTCCCCCACACACCCAGGCAGCCTAGCCCACCATTAAACAGCTTTGGTCATCAGGAACTCTTCCTTAATGTTTAGGTGGGATATTTTTCCCTGCAATTTGAATCCATTGCGCTGTGTCTCCAGAGCAGCAGAAAACAAGCATTGGACCCTCTTCAATGTGATCTCCTTTCTGTTACACTATGTAACACAAGTTTTGTTCCTGGATTATAAATGCCATTTCCTAATTGGTTCTATCTAGGAGCCAAGGTGGAACAATGGGTTTAACTCAGGCCTGGGCAATCTTGAGCCCTCCAGGTGTTTTGGACTTCAACTCCCACAGTTCCTAACAGCTTGAGGAAAGGAAGGGGCCTGAAGCAGTTAGGAATTGTGGGAGTTAGAAGTCCAAAACAACTGGAGGGCTGAAGTATGCCCATACCTGGGTTAAACCCTTGTTCTGGCTGAACTGCTGACCTGAAGGTCTGTGTTTTGAATCCTTGAGGTGAGGTGAGCTCCTGTCTGTCAGCTCCAGCTTCCCATACAGGGATTTTAGAGAATCCTCCCACAGGATGGTAACACATCTGGGCAACGTCCCTGCAGACGGCCTATTCTCTCACACGAAAAAAATGATTCTATCACAAAAACATGGTGAAAGTTTGTTTCCGTGGGACATTTTGCCGCACATTTTGCTATATTTTTTCAATCTCAAGTTTCAAGTAATTCAACATATGGTAGTTTGTGGCAGCCACAAAAACAAAGTTTCTGGAGCATAATAACTACTGTCAAAGTAAGTACCACACAGTTAAACAGGAAATAGCACTTTAAAACCAGGAACAGAACATTTTTCAAATGTTGCTACATGGTGTTTTTAAACATGTCTATCGAGTCCCCTTACAGCCTTCTGTTCTGCAGGCAAAACATACCTTATAGGGCTTGGCTTCATAGACACTTGGGCTTTTTGACTGCCCTTCTCTGGACATGTTCCAGCTTGTCAGTATATAAGGCTTCCTTTGATCTGGACACTATGCTCTTTATGATGCCACCTAAAATTGTGTTGGCTTTTTTAGCTGCCACATCACATTGTTGGCTCGTGTTCAGCTTATGGCCTGCTAATATCCCTTTCACATGTACTGTTTTCAAGCCAGGTGTCTCTTAATTCTATGGTCTCTTCTACACAGCTGAATGAAATCCCACAGTGTGGACTCAAATATCGCAGTTCAAAGCAGATATTGTGGGATTTTCTGCCTTGGTATTCTGGGTTATATGGCTGAGTGGAAGGGCC